TGCATGTTTGGTTCAGTCCGTGTTCGAGTTTGAACGAAGCTGAGTTCGGCGAACCCAGTGTATGATCAATTCAGTCGGTGTTCGAGTTTGAACGAAGCTGAGTTCGGCGAACCCAGTGTATGATCAATGCCCCTCTGTATATGGAGGGCTCTCAAAAATTGGGAATTTCGGTCGTCAGAGGATTGTTCATTTCAACAGAAATTTTCTTTCTGTTTTTTAACCTCGTCATTTGACCTGAAATTTGTTTTAATTTCATTTTTGATAAATTTGGGAGCTTTTTATATGTTTTATTTCACCGCCAATTGATATGGTCAAAATTTTTTTACGGAAAAAAATTCTGCAAATATTTTTATTTTGTTTAACAAAAGATTTTACTTTTAATAACAACAAATATGATCTTTTCTTTCATTTTTCGTAATTTTTTTTTTGGCTCAGCTATACTCTAAAAAATTTTTTGCAAACTTTAGTAATTCAGTAGTTTAGCTGTAACTTTATTCATAAAATGAGATTATCTTGAATGACGGAAAAATAGACTTGTAGATTTTATTTTCTCTTAAAATTTGTGTAATTCGTAGATTTAAAAATTTGCAGTTTGTTGATTATGATAATAATAATTATGAATAATTATGTCTGACGAAAGAGGTGAGAACCGAGGTGAAATAGAGGTGTGGCATTGTGGCATGCCACTAGTAGGAAACGATAAGTTGGTTGAAGCTGACTGAGGTTCAGCTAATTATAAAACTTTCTTATAAATTTAAATTTTAATAATAAGTGTGGAACAATTCTTTTCCATGTGTCCATATCTCTCGTGAATCTCCATATACTTTTATAGTTTGCAGCCAATAGATATGTGCATATATTGCTAGAGGAAGAACCGTCAGCTGAACGCGCATTGCCTCCCTACCCATCTGTCTTTCCTTTTTAATGACTTTTATTCGCTTTGGTAGATTTTTTGCTTATTATTAACTCCTTTGTAATTGGATGAGCCAATCAAGATCTAGACTGATACAGTCAGAAAAGATTTTGAATTTTGAATGGACCAGCGACATATGGACTTAGTCCGATGGAAAAAGGAATGGCATTTATCACTGTCGACGATGATATTAGATCGACGTAGCTAGCCTAACCAAAATGGCGATAACTATTAGAAGAGGCAAATGAAATAATGGATATGATTTTCAGATACAAAATTGCTGGATGACTGGATTGCTGGAGAATCAACCGCTCCAGCAGCAAAACATGCTGTCGAACTCGGTTCGATTAGATTCTAATTCGATTCTCTTATCGTATACCAACGAATGACTCAGGCATAACAATTTTTATTGCATGCATACGTCACAATAACGTGAAAAATAAAAAAATAAAAATATGATTATTAAAAATATTATGAAAAAATTCCTTATTAATGAATTTTATTAATTTTATTAATTTTAATTTTTTTATTAATATTAAAAGCAAAATCATTTTTTTAGTATTATGAAAATATTTACATAATTTTTTTTTAAATAAGTTTTGATCATATTAATTGGCGATGAAATAAATTTATAAAAAACTCTAATATTTATAAAAATTCGAAATCATGAATATTAATTTTCTGATGAGTGGAATTCATAATTTTTGGATGCCCCATGTTTAGTCCAATTTGGTTCGACTATGCTCCAAATGGACGACATTCTCGGTTGGAACTATTGGAACACGTTGAACGATGAAAAAAATGGATCATTGTATGGGACTTCCAAAAATTATGAATTTCCCTCATCGTGTCAACTAAGTCTATTTTGTTCTTATTCGTTCTACACCCGTCAATTTATTTAAAATTCTAATTTAATTTGCATTTTTATGCTTTATTTTCAACACCAATTAATAATGAGTAAATAAATAATAAATAATAATAATAATTAAATAAATTTTCAAAATTTTGTGAAAGAAATATTATTATGCAGAAATTTTTATATTATTTAAAAAATGATGAAGCATCCCATTACGCCCTTTCCAGTCACCTAATCGCCTACCTCTGTTAAAACTCTCGTGCGAGAAAAAGCTAATTTATTTTAAAGAATGCATTGGTCCACATCCCCAGAAAACTCCCATATCCCACTTTTATCTCCATGAAACCCCGTTATTAGTGCAAATAAAAATATGATTATGAGGTTCTGCGTTAAAATTGCTGAAGTCATGAATGGCTTTCCTATCAAAATTTAGGAAAAATGTAATTTTGTGGTGCACCAAAATTTTTTATGGCAATTTGAACAAAGGATGATTGTGTTAGAACTGAAAAGTATTGTATTATGTTGGAACTGAAAAATGGACTTAGTACTATATAGGAATGACAAATGGCCGTTATTTTTGCAGAAAATCCTTTCAACCATTGACAAATCTACATTAGAAAAGCGGCAAAAAACCTATAATAATCGCGACGATACGCACCAAACTCCCGTTTTTCATCTGGAGGACCTATTGGGGTGTACCACGAAAATTCGATATCAGTGCAATAAATGTTTCAAGCAAAGGTTAAAATCCACTTTCCAATAAATCCACTTTGAGGTTCAATGGAATTATCTTAAACAAAAACTCGTACTGTTTCCGAGGGTCACATCGGTACTTGCTGCGTGCTGTCGGTGATTCTTTAAATAAAGTAACCTTTTATAACCTTTTACATAAATGTTTTTGATTTTTGTGGAGATACAGCAACCCTAGTTAGCCATCTTTTCTACGTCAAAACGAACGATTGAAATCATTTAGATATGTGGAAATTTATCAAAAAATTTAAAAAGGGTAAAATTTATTCTTCAAAATACCTTCCGAGAATCCTTTAGTTGATTTATAGATATAAATATCTTAATGCACCACAAAGTGTTCCAAATGTACCGGTTTTATATCCAACGATATCGGTTATCTAACTGGTTAAATCTGATTATATCAATATGCCTTTTTTTAAAGAATGCGTGAAAGTTTTATTAAAGGAAGATTTTTAGATTTCTAATATCTGACGTTGAGGCATGTTTAGATCCAAATACGTGGCTCAAAATGGCTTAAACTAGAATGGCCAGTATATCTTTATTAAAGAATTTGCGAGAAACAGCTACGATTCATTAGCAATTTTAACCTTTCACAATCTATCTCTAAAATATTATCGCATTACTACCAAGGCGATCTATTTGAAGCCGAAATTCAGCTTTATTAAAAACAACTCATTTTATACCATTTTAAAAAGAAAACACCATTAAGAAAACAGCTACACAGTAACATCATATTGTCCAAAATTAGCAATATAGTATCCAAAAATGGACCCTTTAACATTTGCTCCTTTTATAAGTAAAGAACGAACCACTTTTACAGTGGTGCATGTTTGGTTTTACTGGGGTTCCATCGCCTTCTATTTAAGCAGAGCTAAGTTCGGTGAGCCCCCAAAATATTGTGAATTTCGGTCAGAAGATTGTTCTGAGATCGACAGAATTTCTTCTGTTCTTGCTTTATCCTCATCATTTGACCTGAAATTCTATTTCAGTTTCATTGTTAATAAATCTGAGAGCCTTTTATATGTTTTATTTCACCGCCAATTATTATGGTCAAAATTGTTTTACTGAAAAAAAATATTTTTGGGCAAATATTTTTATAATAATTAAAAATTGATTTTAGTTTTAACGACAATCAATATGATTTTTTTTCAATTTTTCAATTATTTTTTCAATTATTTTCTGTTTTTTTTTGATTCGACTATGCTTTAAAAAAATTTGAGTAAATTTTAGTAACTAAGTAATCTAGTAAGTAATTTCTGTAAGTGAGTAATATCGCCTATAAATCTATTTGCCGGTAATTTCCCAAATAACCTTTTAGAACCATTCAAATATAAATTCCATAAAATTTTTGAGTTATTATGGAGATATTGCATTCCTAGCTAACCATTTTTATTAGGTCCAAATGAACAATTGAAATCTATTGCAAATAGTGAATATATAAAATTAAATTTATATACTTATAAATATATATATATATATATAAGTATCCTGAAATCCTTCAATTGATTTATAAATATAAGTATATGAAAGCTCTATAAAAGTGCTCCTCTTATATCCTATAAAATCGGTTATCTAATTGGTTATGTCTAATTATGTCAATATGTCTTTTTTTGAAGACTGCGTGAAAGTTTAATTAAAGGAAGAATTTTATTATTTCTGATATCAGACGTTGTTCGAGAGATCCAAATGCGTAGTTCAAAATGGCTTAAACTAGACGGCCAGCATATCATATCTTTATAAAAAAATCTTATTAGTGGTAACTTAATCTTTAACATGTGTCTCTAAGATATTGCTGCATAGTACCTTATATTAGGTGACACTTTGTCGCTATTAGCAGGAATGGATAGGTGTAACACGCACCTTCAAATAATCGTCTCAGATTGCTGGTACATCTCTACGTAATGAGTTTATTGTTATTTTAGCCAGGAATTGCTTCTCCTTTCAATTTTAATTTTTTTACGATTTTTAGCAACACTTCTAATTGATGTAGTTCATACAGTCCTATAGAAATAAGTATTTACATATTCCTAGATATTTTATCAGTTCACAATTAATTTACGACAGACAATGTAGTTCCGTAAAAAAATAGCTTTCACAGCATAGAACCGAATTGCTTATTCCGACTGGCAATATATTTCAGTATTAACCATTAGCAGTTTTTCGATCATTTTTAAGGAACTACATTTAGCAATTGTAGTTTTTTCGAGATTTTTATAAGGGTTTTAGTTCAATAAATTTTGGTAGAAATTTTTTGCTAAAAAGCAAAAGGAAAAATCAGATGCTAAACATAAGGGAATGGAACTTGCTGGAAAATGTATAGCTGTTGGAAAGGATATTTATAGGGATATAACAAGACCAACAAAATACGTTGAGAACAGCTGACAGCTGATAATCACTCAGCTTGACCAAATTTTTCCTGGCATATGTCCTAAGATTTTTTATCAGATAAGCAAGCAGTGGTGCTTTCGCATACGATAAAGTTTAACTTTCTGTATATATAACAGCCTTTTTCATAGGTCCACATCTCTCGTGAATCCATGAATCTATATATCGTCCTTTATCGCCGAAAAGCCCAGTTTGCCAATATATATTAGATGAAAGAACCATCATACAATGTACATTGCTTGCGTATCCATCTTCATTTCCATTTTAATGATCTCTTTGGTACATTTTTTGCTTATTGTTACCTTTCTTGAATGAATGAGTCTTCGTAAGCAGATTTATTGAAAATTTTACTTATTATTTTTAATATTTCCAAAAAGATAGTTTTTCACAAAATTTTTATTTTTATATGTACTCCAATCCAAAAAATTTGACCGTTTGGTCCGATCGATTACAAATAATTCAACTTACACCATTTTTTTTCATTTTCCTGCCACTATAATTATTTCAAAAACTCTTCTCGAATTCCTCTATAATTTTTTTGCCGATTTTTGATATTTTTTTGGTTACTTGGTTTTATAATATTTTGTTATTTTTATTATTTGATAAACAAGTTCATAATAAATTAAAATGAATTATTTATTCGCTGAGAGAAATTTGCAAAAACCGCATGTTAAGCGACACTGTATCTTCATAATCGGCAAGAATGGATAAGTATGACAGACATTGAAATAATCGTTGCAGTTTATTCGTGTATCCTCGCATGGTCCTGACGGAGTTGTCGTCATTTCAGCCGGAAACTTTGCCCCTTCTCCTTTTAAATAAATTAGCTGATAAATTAACAAAATTAAATGTATTAAATTTATTAATTAAATTAATAAATTAATAAATTATAATTAATAAATTTTGCTTCATAGAATTTTCGACAATATTTCTAATTGATGCAGTTCATATTTTATAGAAATAAATATTTGCAATAATTTAATTTGATTTACAATGCGAAACTTGTGATATTAAGAAGAAATTTTTATCACAATTTGTTTCACTACAAAAAGGTTGGTTTTCTCTCTTAAATTTGGTAAAAATTGTGAAAATCAACAATTGATAAAAAGGATAAAAAGATAAAAAAATTATGCAAGCAGTCACCTTCTAAGCATGTCGTTAGTTCACACGTTCCCATGCAATTCTTTTGCAGAAAAAGTGAATCATGGCAGCCCAGAACTGCATCGGACGATTCGCATAACCTATCTGGCAATATATTTCGACATTTACCGCCTGCACCTTTTCGATCACATAATGCGCATGTTTGTGGACATTTGGCAATTGCTATAGCAATTTTATCCGGAGTCGTACACGAGTTTGATTTTAACAAATTCTGGCAAAAATCTGTCGTTTCAACTGAAAGTCGAAAAAAATTTAAGAAATTAGTTTCCAAAATTAAAAAATAACCATTGTCGATAATTAGATAAATTAGTTTAAATTGTCATATTTTGTTTTATTTGTTTAATCTGTAAGAAATTTATTAGAGCCAATGTTCCATTTATTTTAACTTCACTGCCGCATTTTGTGGGGCCTTAAAATAATTTTGCACGGGATGGCCTATCTACAAGTGGCCGGCGAAAAGTTATTACCGTAATAGCCAGTGGAAGCCAGTCAAATTAAAAGAATCGTATGAAAATGTTTATTTTAAAAAAAATCACCGTCCTCGCAGTTATATTTATCGAGTTTACAGCACATTGCACATGTTGATTTACAGTTAGATTCAGCAAAATGTATAAGACCCCTCAGATAACATTTTTCATTCACTTCGTAATCTTGCGTTCTAAAAAAGGAAAAAATTTTTTAACTTTTTATCGTGAATTTTTTTTCTTATCGAGCAAAAAAACTTACTCATCAAGGTTACTCTTAAGCACCGATGGAGGTATATGAAATATTTCCTCGCACACTGTTTTATTGACATCTTCACACGCTGTTACCGGTACGGATGGGCGAACAATCGAACCTATTTCTTTGTCACACAATTGCAAAGGAAATGTCGTCGTTGCATCGATTTTACTGACGTGGAGAATTATGAAAAATATAATATTAAACATATTATAAAACATCAATCTGAAATAATTTCCCCCTGTAAGATTCTTCAAAATCGCTCAGAAATAAATTTAGGATATTTGGCCGATAACAATACTTTTTTTTTTAAAGAGTCCTCACCATTACTGGTTAAACTCGCTCCACTGGCTTGTCACATTATGCCAGGGAGCTCTTTGGCGATAGAAATACAGGTAAGTCGCCATCATCACCCGGATTTTTGTACAGGTTTACTCCTGCGGAGAATCGCACTTCAGCAGCGGCGCTCCCAATTGGGCAACAACCCACTGAACCATTCTATCCCCGGCCCACTCTCCGATAGCAATATTGTTGCAGTTCAATACTATAATCATTTATCTTTATTTATTAGGTAATTATTAATAATTTTATTGGTAATAATCTTGATATATTCGTAAATATATATACGTTATATAAATGCATATAAACTAAACAAATAATTTACAGATAATTTAAGTAGAAAATCAGAGATATAGGGACTTAGACGATGAATGGCTCTTGTTTAGGACGAACGGCTTGGAGATGTCTCATCCTTGCAGCCAATGGAACCAGCTTAACAAGTAATAGTGAGAGCTTTTAGAAGATGAAGTAGACCGATTACGCTTGCGAATTAAAGTACTTTATGCACCATATAGATTTAAAAAAGAGAGCGAAAAAAGAATGTTAAGGGATTTTATAGTGAAGTAACCGAGTGGATATAGTCGATCAACTGGCATGCGGATGGATACAAAGAGCAACAAGGGAATATCAAGCATAAAGACTGCATGAGGGAGATTCAAGGAAGACATAAACAGACTTAGTCGCTTGCAGACACGAGGGAAGAAGTTTAGATAAGTGGATGCCATTTTAGAGGAAATATAAAATTGATATTAAAATTGAGGACATTCGATTTTTTTGCAGATCGAATAATTTTTTTGTGGAACGCATCACGAGATTTTCAGGTAAGCAAATTATGCTCATAAGGGTCCAAAAAGTCCTTTGGTGAAAATATGGTTCAAATTTAAAAGAAATCGATAATTAATTGGCTATTTTTATAAATTATTTCAGCTCACCTAATTTTTATTAATTTTCGAGCTGCAGCTTTTTAGATTTCCAATAATTTCTACCAAAAAATGAAATAAAAATATTGTCCAAATAAAAACGAGTAAGTTTAAGCATTCAATCAGCCATTAGATTCTTTAATTTTTCTCGATTTGCATTATTTTTTAAAATAAAATTTAAAAAATAATAGTTGGAATTATAATAAATAAACTAATAATAACGAATATAAATTAAATTAAAATTTAAAATAAATTGAATTGAATAAAAAAATGGATTTCAAGACAATGTGGTTTAGTCGTTAAAAAAATTCGTAAAAAAATCATTTAACTAAAATTCTCTATGAATTTTTTAAATTTGAATTTATTCAGCTGTTGACGATAGGCGAAAATTCGCTTCAATATTAATTATTTCTCCTTTCCTCACGGCTTTCACAATTTTTTTATTCTTAAAATATATTTAAGCGAATATATTTTTGCAAATTTGGTAAAAAAAATGCGCATTTCAATGAACTATTTGTGAAAAATGTGACCAATTTCACGCAAAATATATATTTAAGATTTTTATGTGAACAAAATAGCACCATATTATTCATAAAAGGAAGAAACTATCCAATATACAGAAGCAGGAAAAATATACATTTGAAGGACAAAAGGAACTGGAAAGGAAGGAAAAGAAAAGGCAATGTCTACAGGAATATCAGAAATTTATGAATAGCAAACAAAGATGTTGTAGGACACCGACTCAAATGGACAAGCAAATACTGACCGATTAATCAGGCATCGTGATAATTGCCAAGAACCAGAAAATAATAGTAAATATAGCAACATCAAATAACAGGAATATCAAGAAAAGAAATGTGAGGTGAATGAAGAAATGCCAGAGTCTTAATGGCTAAATGTGTGAAGTGAAGGTTAAGCTTTTCCCAATAATGGAACTTCGTAACCTTTAAATTAGAAATTCGGAAGAGCGGACTATTAGAAATAGCCAAGGTTGAGGATGACCATGATTAAGCGCAGAACCCTAAATCTCCCAGTCCCCTAATGGAGGACTCGAGCTTGAGGATGGCCATGCACTTCCACAGATAGGTGAAATTTTTTCTATGGCGCTGAAATAATGATTAAGTCGGACATATAACTACAATGGCAATTAGCTCTGCCTTACCGGCGACGCTACTTGCACGAGATGAATGAATTGCTTGTCCTTTCTAATCCTATCTAATCCTTAGTCGCCTAAGCCTCTGATACAGGATTCAAGACTGAGGATAATTTACCAATGTTATTTTAGGTATTTCACCAAATTTCTCCCCATTTACCTCTATATTTAGCACAAACAGAACTTTAACAATTCCTCATATACAATTCCTCATTCAAAATTTCCTTTCCTTAAATATATACATTCTATAAAATGTATGCAAAACTTATGCACAAATTTAACACTTTTGTCATTTTCTGGTAAAATTCCACAAATATTTGTTTAAATTCGTCTAAATAAGAATAGAAAGAGTGGCCCAATTATTGGTCGAAATTCGTAATGCATTCTACAGTTTGATGGTTTCTCTAGCGCACATTTCGCACAAACGGATACGCATGATTAACAGTCGAAATTATATAGATTAGCATAGAGGGTAGTCAAACAGACAAGCGAAGCGACCATGAAACGTGAATATGCCATGCTATTCATTCGAAACTGGTTTTTAAAAAATTTTATCAATAAGTAATAAAAATCTAAATCGATACGCTTGAAAGTAATAAGTATTATTTAGTCAAAAAGATTTACTGTACCGTCAGAATTCGAATTTTTTTCTCGATTATTTCTCGGTTATTCATTTGGTGAAAATCCATAATAAAAACTGCAGTTTGTTTTTCTCGTCTTAAAATCTTTCGACTTTTTTGTTCATCTAAGACAGTAATTCGAAAACTTCGCAATTGGGTTGTTGAATTATACAATTCGAAAGAATTAATTATGAACTGAAGAAAGAAAGCAGTTATTTGTAATTTCTAGCAAAACATGCTAGAAATCAACTTATGACAAAAAAAATTCATCAGAATTCAGTGACAAACGAATTATGAGAGTCTTCATTAAAACAATAAACCTATACTTCATATTTGGAGTTTGTGGACAAGAATATTTCACGAGTTTCTAACTGCAAGCAAATGTATTCACTAAGTACAGTCGAGATCACTAGACTGAAAACTTGTAATAACCAAAAAGACGCCTGAAATGGAATTTTATCATACAATATAACAGCCAAAATATGCCAAAAATGAAGAGTTGAAGTAAAGTCAAGACACTGTTTTGCACGACAAACAATGCGGGAAAGCATTAACGCGCAAATGCAATCCGCTAAGAGCTGAATAACCACTAGACGAGGAGTTACCTGAAAAAAAAAAGAAACTACTGAAACCATGACATATGTCGATTAAACCCTGAAATCTTATATTAATACCATGTACCATGCAGAAATACAGCTAAAACATGTGCAACCTTTCGCTCCAATTAGGCCTCATTTTATGTTATTTTAAATGTTTCGATATACAAACACCCTATTTATTCCCATATTTAGCATAAATAGACCTTTCAATCAAAATTCGCTAGTCAAAATTACGCACCATTCTATTAAATATATATGTGCAAAATCCTGTGCATAATGCACACATTTTTAATAATTGCCAATAATTGCCAATTGCTACAATAACAATTTTATCTTCTAAACAGCATTGGCCATTTTCGATTTTGCTAGTTCTACTATTTAGCTATTAGGAGAGATTCCTTTATCTTTTAATAGCAGACTTATTATCTTCAAATATAACCAAATCTATGACGATTTAATGCATTAATATTCATATTATAAAAAAAAAAATGAAGGAAAGAATTGCCTGTGCGGAGAAAATGTCTCTCAATGAAACCATATAACCAAAAAAGCTGCTTGTACTTAATAAAATACTTTCTGACGCATAAAAAGTTGACTGTATACATATTATTTGTCCAACAATCAAAGTTGGATCCCAAACACTAGGCCGAAAACCAATCACCATCGAAAACCTCTAGCGAGCATATATGAAACTGTAAAAACGATAGCGGATTTTATTCCTAAAGAAAGAAATTACAAAACGATTCGACAAGTGGGCTGAAGGAAATTAGACACCACACAATCACCAGAAATTATTATGAATCTTCATAATAGCGCAACAATTTAGAATTCAACTACAAGCATCAAAAGTAAAATAAAATAAAATATTTTAATGCTATAAAAAATAGAGCAAGGCGCACTCAGAAAAATACGGAATGATTCAGTGATTAAGCACAATGACTTCAGGAAACCGCAAGAAACCACAAGACAAATTTATTACAGTAAAGCGCCAACAACTGTTCCATGACAAGCTTTATAAATCTCGAAGGTAATAATAACAATTTCTTTAGCCTAAAATTCAACAGAAATATTTCACACCAGTTTTACAACCATAAACAAATCAAACATTCAATACGCTTCAAAAATTATACAAAAGATTATGCAAAAATACTAATATTTAATTGGCGTATAACCAACAAATAAGCGACAAGGACAAAAAAAAAATTTATTCAGAAAAATACAGTTTAACACAGAGTAAGTAAGAATATAAAAAAGGGAGTCATTACTATTGAAAAATTTTTTTCTTTTTTCCGAGAGAAAAAAGCCTAAAAAAGAAAAACACTCATATTCAAAACTTTAAAAAGATATATCATAACTGGAGTAACGCTATTTAAATTATCAAATAAAATATTCATTGAGTAAATAAAATTTTAAAAACAAGAAAAGTTCCATGTGATACAGTCGAATATGCCAAATCAATGCTTGTTTAAAAAAAAATTTAATTTAAAAAAAAACAGAAATACAATCCCAAAAGATTTTTTCCTGAATACAATCCCATTAAGTAGGCAAGGAAATTAAAATTCTAAAGCTTAATAAATCTTTGATATTCTTTGAAATCAGAACCTATGAGTTCCAAACACCAGAAAAACTGTCGCATAATATAGAGTTGGGATTGTATAGAAGGATTAGGATTTAAATATATCTTATAAGAAAATCTGAATACAATTACAGAATCTATTTTTTCACAATTTCAACAAAAAATCTCAAATTATTCCCTTGTCGAAGGCTCTTTCAAATGGAAGTTGTAAGTTATCATATATCACAGTACAAATGTTTCACGCATATTCTAACAGAAAAGTTAGTAACAAATCTATCAACTTCCGATGACAATACTTGAAACGGCAAATTTTATCAATAAGAATCTAATAAAATCAAGAACAAAATGGTTTACAACTCAACTTGATTTAACTAAACTATGACCTATCAATAAATGGTTTAGTTATGAGCGAAGATGAGGATATAATAATGGAATCAAAAGAAAGCAAGTCAGAAATACTGAAGAAAATCACAGCTAAAAATACCATAATTCCACCGAAATTAAGAAGGTATATCTGCCTTATCCAAATCAATACGGCAAACCGGACATTTCTTGTTATACACCAACCAACGATCAATACATGTTACATGAAAAACATGAGTACAACATAAACAGCGAACGTCTTCATCAGCTTCAAAATCCATTAAACATATCTGAAAAAAAGTATGTCCTTCTTCGAAAAATAAAATAGGAAAATTTACGAGAAATTTGAAAAAGCAAAATTTTAAGAAGATTTAAAGACCTCATAGTTCGATCTAGCAAAAATTACATAACCATAAACAACATCAATATTAATTAATTAATTGCAGAGTATCATATGAACAAAATGTTAGTTCAGAAAGTTGCTTACTGTACATCGTTCCTTTTCATTCTCTGGGACATCTTCAACTTTAATGTATTTATACATTTTTGAGAAGCGCTGAATTTGATCCAAGGAAGCTCCCACTGGCAAAGGATCAGAAAGTGAAGGAGGTGGGCCGCTTAACATAGCGACCGCTTCCTGTGTTCCGAGTAATATCTACAAAAAAAATTTCGACAAAACGATAATGATGTGATAATGATATAACTTAAAACCAAAGAAAATGGATCTAACCATTGATAGTTCCATAAACTGATGATATCGTGGTGGCAGAACGACAAGTGGAGGTGGACTAATCCGACGAGCTACCACATCAACACCAACAAGATTTGTAGTAGATAACGATGCACGATTAAACCAAGCGTTATTTGACTGACGCTCATGTTCAAGCTGAGCCATTCTCGATGCTATTAAATCTTCATTTGAGCTCCTGACGCCCTCACGTCTAAAAAATTTTTTTCCGTATTTCCTTGTTACGCGAAAAATTTGCTAAGATTTAAATATTAAATATTATCATCGACATATAGCTGGATTTCCTTGTTCTATATCTGACCTGGCTGGCTCCATTCACAATCAGAGCGATAGGCCTTGAAATATTTAGCCAAATTATCATCTGAGAACAAAGGAAGAGTTAGTACCACCCAGTTTCTCTTTTGATTAGTAAGATGTGGTGCTGTTGACCCATTTACATTGGCAAGTTGGCAAAAATTTGCTGCTCTGGTAAGCCAGAATAATTAGCACTCCTCCGAAAAAAATGGACAGGAGTGGAATTTTGTATTCTTATTATTCTTCAAATAAAGTATAACCCAAATTTCATAATCATTAAGCCGATTTAATTAATTTTATTTGCAATTATGGAGTAATCTTTCAGGAAGAGTGAAGAAAATATTCGTTACTTGATACTTTTCAAACAAGCACCATGATAAAAAATTATTTCATAATTATTTAAGATGATAATAATATTATTAAGATATACAACTTAGCCCAACGATAACATGTGTATTATAGAAGAATCTTTTAAAAAACCTCGGCAATGTTGTAGCCATTCTTAAGCGACAACATGTGCATGGTGGATGTTGTAGACAATGATAATGGCAAGTGGATGTTGTACACGACAAAACAGTTCGATTCAGGCACTCATTGCAAAGCGGAGTATTTGAAGCTGTCGTTCTGCTATCATCAACTGATCTGGAGCTAAAAAGATATATATAGTTAAATTATAAAATATATTTGAAAATTAATGACTCTGAATCGCTATAAAAATGAAAAAAAAATTTATGAATTTCACTATGTTTTTTTCCGACAATTATTCATATTATTTTTTTATCTCCATTCAGAAAATCTAAATTTACACAGAAATAAATAAACATCAATTTACCTCGCAATAACACGAGATGAATTAGAACTTTCACCATCACTTGAATTGAGAATACGCCGCAACTTATGTGTACTTGGTGAAGATGTAGGATCGAAATCGTTCGGTGTCGCATATCTATTATGTTCATTTGGTCTCTTTATTCTCATAACAGTTCGCATTCCACATGAACCATGTGTTGTTGAATGGTTAGGCATCTGAAATCAGTTAAATAAAATTATATAATTATATAATATGAATATCTATATTAATTATGTTAATTATCTTATATAATATAACCATATTATGTAATTGCAAAAGAGGTACCAAACAAATATAATATACCCAAAGATCTAAACCAGAAATATTAATAATAAATTTGAATGAATTCATTTTAAAGCGAGAATATAGCCAAAATGGGATGAAGATATTCAGATATGTTCGTAAAAAAGTATTGATTAATTAAATATTGAATTAAATAATTCCCAAATTTGTGCATTCTATGAATTTTTTGACCCTTTTATTCAACGTTTATTCAACGTCACCCAAAATTTAATAGTGATTGTGAAGCAGACAATGATAACAAAAATTTATAAAAAATGGTTATGGCTGCTGAAATCATAGAAATCATGGATAAAAAAACCAGTAATTACCTGAGTGTTATTGTCTATTGAAGACAATGATAACAAAAAAGTTGTAAAAAATGGTTATGGCTGCTGAAATCATAGAAATCATGGACAACAAAAAACCAGTAATTACCTGAGTGTTATTGTCTGTTGACGAAGGAAGTAAAGATGAAGGAAGTGGATAAGGAGACACCGCCGAAGATACAGAGGATCCTAAATAATTAGTTTAATCGTGAAATTAAATTATGAACAAGAATACTTTCAGAAAATTTTTTATACTTTATAATTATTCGGTTCAAATTAATGCCATTTTATTAGAGAAAACATGAGAGATGTAAAAAATGGTGGTGTAACAAAAGAATATTATCAAATTATGGACGAAGAATAACGATAATAAATTTTCACATAGATTCTTTGTTAGAAATTAGTGGATGAAATAGTTGAAGGAGTTGGAGCAAGGAAAGAAACTGGAGAAACGAAAAAGAAAGAACATTTAAATCGTCTTCGATGAAAACTGCTGGATCGTATAACCGAAAATATTTATAAGCTTAATAAAAATAACTTGACAAAATTTTGAATAATAATAATAAAAAAAAATTATTTAAACAGTAAAATATTTGTATAACTTGAATCATATAAAATATAAAACTAGAATGACTTATTTTAATGCCACTAAATCAAAACTTGACATTCTTACCAACATTAAACTGACTAACCAGATAAACTGGAAAATGTTTGCGATGGATAAGTCACCGGGCGATGAAGAACACATGGCTGAGTATAACTACAAGGAGGAAACGCAGCACTCATTGGCGTTGAACGAAATGTCTGTGGATTAGAAGTGGTGATACCTGCTGGTGGACAATACGCAGAACGCAAATTGCGTGGAAATACTAGTGGTGCGGCAAAAGTTGATGAATATGCTGCATCAGGAAATGGTAAAAATTGAGGAGATGTATAAACACTGGAAGACTGATGAAGAATTGGATGTGACGGCGAAGCAACGAACGATAAGGATGCCGCAGCTGCTGCCGCCGCTGCCGCTGCTGCTGCCGCTGCTGCAGCAGCTGCTTGCTGATTAAATGAATTTTGTTGCTGTTGGGTTACGCCTGATGCGAGTGCTACTGCCGCTGGCAATATACCACTGTTTCGTTGCTGTTGTTGCTGTTGTTGTTGTTGTTGTTGCAGCGAGTTTGCATTCATAAGATTTCGGGTATATAATCGATTATGAACACCTAAATCGTGCACTGCCACTAAAGTATCCTGAAATTACTACCACTAGTTCATTCATTCATTTTTCAATTTATCAACTCATAACTTTTATATATAAAATAATTTTTCAGTTAAATCGGTAAAATTTGATGGTGTCGAAGGACGATCCGCAAAATGATAACTTTGATAATGATTAGTAAAGCTTAATCATATCAGAATAAAAATGATAAACTCGATATTATTCATTAGAAGACTGAAACGATTTGATAACAACAAAATGTAGCAAAAGCATTAAAATTTTCGACATATTTTCGCCCCTTCTAGCGTATGGAAGAAGCTTTTTTTTCCGCCAATGAATTATCCTAAAATTACCTATTAAATCGAAAAGAAACCACTAACAAATGTTACACCAAACAATATTCAAAAATTATGAATTAATTAATATTTTGAAAGAAAAAAAAGATAAATAGAGGAAAATAAGATAATTTTTTTTTCATTAAGTAAATGATGTTTTAATTTACTTCAAAAAACTAGAAAACAAGCAAAAAAAAAAATTGCTATTAGCCTCTAATCAAATAATTTTTTTTGGCTAATCAATGAAGCTCAAAAATAAGTAAAAATGGGGTGAACGACGAGTTATGTGAGCGAAATTACATGAGATCAAAAATTCAGAAGCGGATCGCCCTTCGCTGCCATCATTTATGGCTTTTTTTTATCAAAAAATTAATAGAAAAAATAACAATTTGAGTAGAAGCTGTGAGATGATTCTGTGAAGCACTGGGTGGAATGTCGGCAACGGTTAGGTCGTTCATTCGATGCATTGTCCAATTCGCATAGAGAACTGACTCGAACGACCCGAACCTTGTTAAACCGAACCCAATTACACAGACAAAAAATCACCGAAGCCGAACGATTGCTGATCTGTTTTTACACTACTAATTCTCAGTCCATCCGATTTCTCCGATAATACCGACATTTAGTAATGGGGAATATTTTAAAAGAATAGGGGGTTTTTATGGCTTCTCCTCCCTTTTCCTCTCTTTGAGAAAGGTGGAAGAAAAGGCGAAAGGTTTGGCGAGAGCCGATTGGGGGCTAAATGTGCACGTTACACTATAATGAGGGGGGTTATTTGGCTTCGCGTGGAGCTCGTTTCTCCTTTCTCCTTTCTCCTTTTAAATCTCAAGTTTAAACGCTAATCTTTTCATTTTCCCCTTATAACTCCGCTTTCTCCCCTTGAAAACTTCCACTTTCTTATTTTCTCAGTTTCATCAATCTCCGGAAAAATTCTTGGCTTCGATATACCGACGAGATTATTAATTATTGGTTTTTATGGTTAGTAGATAATCCATAAATAAATTATAACAACGATTCCTGATGAATGTTGGCTCAGTTATTACTCTCTCATTTCGTAATAATGCCACTGCTGGAATTATACCCCCCAGCCGGATTAAGCATATCTTTCAAAAACGTACGTAACGCTGGCTTCCATCGTTCTTCCAAGTGGTTCTTTGACAAAATTTGCCTGACTTGGGAAGCCAGAAAAAAATAGTGCGAACTAGCGAAGAATGAAAATAGAAGGAACGACAGCCTAGTTATGTAAAGGATAGCTGATTCAATATTTGTTAAAAAAGGGTGAAATTCTTGTGAATGAGCAGAAGAATGTAGACGGGTCAAATGATTTATGTTAAATTTCGAGGTCATATGTTGCATAAGTATTTAGAATAAGTCAGCTCTAACTGATAAGGTTATTTATAGAAAGGAATAACCTTGTTGGGATCATTTGAAAATCTTGCCAGTGGATTACTTAGAGATAGATAAATTCTAGTGAGCGCATAAGGGTTGAATCGTGGATTGATGATATTCGACTCGGCTATTCGGCCTTATGTTATAAAGTTATTGATGCGTTTTAATGGCTTTTACTTACTTATTTACTTACAGATATAAGAGAAAGAATCGAAGAAATCACGCTTCGAAGTTCTGGAGTTCCAATTTTAGACTTCTGCTGGCATTTTATCTTATTGTGGTATGAAAATGGTTGAAGAAGAGAAGACTTTTCAAAAATTGGATATTCCAACCGCTGAAATATTGGTAAGTATTAGTAGTATTATTAGTTTTCTCTTCATATTTTTGTTTAATATTTAATAGTTTGTTTGATTGGTTTAAATGGCGTAATTGTCTGAACTCTTTCCTTCGGACACCATGTAAACCCATGCCCGTTACGTTCAAAAATGTCTGATGGCTGAGCTGATCGAAGTTTATGAATGGAACCAAATTTGAACCATAAAAAAATTGAATTTTTTGATGGAGATTTATATTTTGTTTGGTAAATTTTTACAGGAAGATGTTGCGGAATTTTTAAAGCGAGAGGGTGATATATCTGCTGAGGAAGGCGTTAAACGACTTGATATGTTATATAAAAAATACAAAAAAGTTGAACAACAATTGTTGGCTCAAAAACTCAGGTTTCATTGCTATTATTATTACTTCTTTTGCTCTATTTTTTGTTATTTTCTGGAGAATTCTCTTGGATCTATTCAGTTTTTTTCGATGCATTGAAATAGCTTATATATTTTGCTTTATTTTCATTGCTTTGCAGGTTAAATGCTAAATTACCTGAATTGGAAGAATCTCTAAAAGTTATCGAAGTTTTGGAGATTAAAGAGGTTTTATTTTACTAATAAATTTTTTTGGCTTTGGCACTTTTAATTGAATGTCCGCATTCCGCTATTCGACCGATTTAAAGGATTTATCTGTTATTTATTGGAGGAGTTTTCCTATAATATTTTTATTTCGTTTCATCGAAGGAGGCAGCTGTGGCCAAAAATGCATAAAGAGATTTTCAAGCACGAAAATCAATAGCAATAAATTCACTAAATAAAATTGTCCGCTGTCCTGCTCAGTAACAGTAATCTTCATGCCTCTTAATATCACTTCAACATTTTTTATGCTCCTTTGCCACCTATTTGAATCTGGTTTCTATATGTGAAATCCCCTAAAATCCACTCTGCATTTCTGGTTCTATGCTTCCTCATTATCACAAATTCTTCTCCTTCTCTTTTCCTATTTTTCATCGTTCCTTATGCACAGATCTACGAAGTCTAAATATATTAATTTTTATAAAATACAGCCGGGAAGAATAAATCGCTTCAACATTGCTTAGAAAAAGTCAAAATTAAATGAAAAAATTTTCTTTGAAAAGCATGAATTTCGAGCATAATGGTATATAATTAGGTTTAGGAGAGCCTTAAAGAAGTACAGTTCGGAAAAATATATAAGGGAGCACTGATGCAAAAAATGTAAAAGTTGTAAAGAGAATATTTCGTGGTGATTTTACGGAACCACAATTAAAACTGAGGGATTAAACCACTTTTATGCCACTATTGCGCAAAATCGTATAGCTATTTTTCCATAATATATTGAAGAAAAATAGCGAAGTTTCAAGTGTTTTAAGGTATTTTAACAAGTTTTAAAAAAGCGTTTTAAAGAATTAAAGAATTCTTTTAAAAAAGTACGACTGGATTAGTTGCGCGAAATTTAATGGATATTATTAAGAATCTTGCCAAAGAGCGCGATGATTTTTGCACAGCTTAAAGGATTAAATAAGAATTTTTGAAGCATTAAAGCATTAAATAATAGGGTTCGAAGAGATTTTTAAAAATATAACGGAATATCAAAGGAATTGAATTCGTAACGCTATTTCCGTTCGAGATTGTCAATAGACATCAGAAAGTATTAAAACCTATATTTCTTCCAGCAATGTTTAGTAGTATTGTTGAGCCTAAAGATGAATTTTTCAATTTTTACTTGGTTCCTAAGGAAATATTTGTAAAAATAATTATTGACTTTGGCTGAAAATTTTTTTTTTTCAGAAAAATAAAGAGCCATTCAGTTTAACATATATGGTTAGCGACCACGCTTACGCGAAAGCTCGAGTTAATCGTTCTGATAAGGTCCTTTTTTATTACTTAGTACTTTTTTTTATTACCTAAATTTAGTTTTATTCCAATAATAATGCAATTTTCAGGTATTGTTATGGCTTGGAGCCAATGTGATGGCTGAATATTCTTTAGAAAAAGCCCGGAGGATATTGGAAACTAATTATGATCAAGGCATGACATATTATTGAAAATTTCAATTTTTTCTTCTTAATGAGCAGCTAGTTAGCAATAATTCCGAATCGTTTTATTTAATTTAGAATAAGCAATAATGGCTTGGTTCAATTCCATTTAAAGAATGTGAATTTTTAATTAAAAATGTAATCTAGCATAAGAGTCACTTTCAGTCAGTGGAGGTAGTCAAACAAGAAATTTTGCGTGTTATTATAAGAATGGTTGCAAAAAGTAGTCGGTTTAGATGCTAAATCATTAATTATAAATCTTTTAGATATTAAGAAAAAACTTTAGATATTAAGAAAATATAGTTAAGTTAAAGTTAAAAGCATAGCATAGCTAAATCGTAGTAAATACGAATCCACTCAACAAAGGGATTTTTTTTGTACAATCATTCTTAGATTCGGAATATGAAAACTTTTTTTCTAAAATAATTAAGATAAATAATTTTAAAAAATTGATATATGGATGGGCCATAACTAAATTTAATGACACCTGAATATTTGCGAAAATTTAAATTTGATTGATATTGGATTTAAATGGTCTTATCATAAATTATAAGATTTTTTCAGCTACAAATACCATAGAAAATATTACTAAAGAATTGTCTTTTATCAAAGATCAAATAACAACTACTGAGGTGAACATGGCACACGTTTATAATTATGGAGTGCAACAAAAAAAACTGGAATCCAGCAAATCGTGAAAAGTGCTATTAAACATGCATTGCATGAGATAAAGCCAAAGATTTATTCAAGAATTTTTGCTAAAATTCTTTCGGAATATTTCATTTCATTGCTAAAAGAGTTTTCTACATTGCGATTTGTTTCAATACTTCTCAAAATCCAATATTTTGAGAATTTTGATAACATAAAACCTTTTATATTTTTTTTATTTCACTTTATAATTTAATGGTTACAAATATACAAGAAACAAAATAAATAAGAATTCTACATTTGCAAAAAAAATTGTTTCTTCTGTATTTCTGAAATAATCGAAACCTTTCATATTCTACAAAATTTTTTCCGGACAGCACTTTCTTATACTTTCTTATACTTCGAGAATCATCTTAGACACCTTAAAAATATTAGAAATGGATTTCTAAACATAAATTATGAAGGTTAAACTATATTTGCTACAACTACTTATAATGAAAATCCAACGAGTGGTCTTCGACTTTCTGCGCTAATGGTTAGGTCGAGGATGTGAAACTAAATTAGCAGGAATCTAATAAAATTTTGAAAGGTATAGCAGATGAAACAACGTAACAATTAGAAAAATAATGCACGCCATCGTGAAAATAAGAACCGTGCTTCACAAAATCTACAATCCAAAAGTTTCCTGATATTTCAAAAAAATATTTACAAAGGACACAATAAAGAAGAAATATAAGTCAGGGACGATGAAACCTGAAAATAGCAGAAAGTGCATACGAAAAAACATTGAAGAAATGGTCTTTTCTGAAGACCTACATTTAATTACTTCCGCTTTTTTGAGGTATAAAATTATGAGGGAATTAACCTACCTCGTAAAAATTCGACTTTCTTCATGAACATCCATTTCTTTTGCCTTAAAATCATTCAGCTCTTTACGAATCAGTGCCTAAAATTAAATTTTACTAAAATAAAAACATTAGGTAACTTAATAAAATATAAAAAGAAATATGGGCAATATTTTTTAACTATATAATAATCAGTGAAAGACTTAGTAACTTATTCCATAATATTTTTCTTAAATAGGATTCTAACAAACGAATCTATGAAAATTTATCCCTCGATCATTTGCAATGGTGGTTCTTATTTGAACCTTGTCAGTCGGTGTTAGTCTCGTCCAAGGCTTATCGGCTTTCCGATCATAAAATTCTGCTTCTGTTACTTCTACATAATCATTAAATTTTATTATTTGTTTGTCTTTCAATTCTTGAATGGTTGGTCGAAAACTGAGCTGGAAAATATATATAAATAATCACTTTTATTACTTATCCTTCGTTCATTCATAACAATAAGCTTTTTCAGCTGCCGTAATGATAGCGGAAAAAATAATAGCTAATAGCTTATAATCAAATTTTTTATAAAATCTGATGAGTGACCAGAAAGATTGCACATTAAAAGCAGAATGTGGTGAAATATAAATTGGTGGATCTATTAAGCTATTCTTAAATAAAATTTTGATGTCATAATAATAACCTTTCGAAGCAACATTTTTCGTGTTTCATCCATTGCTTTTTTAGAAGATATTGAAGCATCAGACGATTTCAGAATATTTCGCTGCTCTAATTCTTTTGCCGATGGTCGTTCGCTCAATTTCCTAAAAAATTCTTGTGAAAAATAACCTGTCTGTAAAGATTTTTGTGAAGCAAATAAATTAATAAATTATACGCACTAAAAAAATGAAAAAAGAGAAAAACCGGGAGGAAACAAAAATAGCTCTATTCCAAAAGTTTGCATTGTTCAAATGCGAAAGTTACGTTCATTTACCTCTCTAATTTTATGCTGACTTTATGCATTAAACGCATACGATCATCTGATGTTTGATTTGGTATATCGTCCACCGGGTCAGGAACATCAAATCTTTTAGCAAAAGTGTCTCGTCTAATGACTCGTGCAGCCAAACCACCTAAGAGATTAGTTATACTGAATGATATTTCGAAATTAAGTAATAATCCTTTCATATTATAATTAAGAAATTTTGAAAGTTTACTTATGATATCATCTTCATCATCAGTAATCAAATGTTTAGTGATAATACGACTGGCAATAACGGGATTGGTACTATGACCTATTCCACGATATGGTGCTTGTGATATGAAATCGTCACGATATTGAATATCGGTGTCACTATCACTATCATCGGTTAATCTCGATGGAAGCTCATCAGCCACACTGCAAAATTATCATTTAAACCTTGAAAAAAGAAATAAAGCACCAATAGATCATAAAACATCAAGGAAATGAAAATAATTTAAAAAATTTAGGTGAGAAGAAATCTAACTGCGTAGCAATTGTTACAGATGTTACAGAGGACGATTCGTTACATTCTTCTGCAGATGGCATTCTAGATGAAGAGGCACCTTTAACCAATCGTAAACGACTCGGTGCACCAGGTTTTTTAAGAGCAGGACGATCCGGCTGAGCAAAGAGGTTTGGCTCTTTAATAGCAATTTCCTCAATAACAGTGGACTTATGTGTTACTACTTCAGCTTGATAACTTGAATCGGAATCATCATCATCGTTTCTGTACTGCCAATCCTTGAACCTCCATGAGTCTAAAATATGAAAATAATGAGATACATTTATATTATTTAATATCCTGGAATTATAAATATTTCAATATGAGATCAGAAATAAAAAGAAAGCAGTGCAACAAATGAGCTTGCTTCGAGGAATAATATTTGGTTTTATGTCCGATGTTTGTATTTTAAAAAATAGACTATTTAAAAAACAATAATTCAAAAGTTGCCGGTCGAAGATTTCGTTTTAGACGGTAGTTAAAATTACGAAACCAAATAACATCGAACAATTCGGGGAAAAATTGAATTTGAAGATAAAATTTTTTTTATTTATACCATCATCGTTTATCCGTCTTGCTTCATAATCTAATCTCGGTTCTTCCAGTGCAGCACATTCAATTCGACCATTCGATGTCACAACATTAGATGGTGCCTTATCAATTATAAGTACATGTTCAATTGGTGACATATCTCTTTCTTCAGTTCTCAAATGAACAACATCTTCATCATATTCTCTGAAGTGATATATGAATTTTAATTCGAAAATCATCACCTAATGATATTAATATAGTTTTTAATATTATTTATCCTTAACATTTATGATAACTTTTTTCCTATATAAATAATAGAGTCTGTAAAAAAAGAAAATCACAAACTTTTGCCTTTCCATAGAAAAATCTTCTTCAAAATTCAGTAACTGACCATTGCCGGTTGTATCTAAATTGATAAAATAAAGCATAATTGATAAAATAAATCATAAAATTTCGTAAACCATATGAAGCTCATGTCGAAAATATCGTCGAATTTCTTGGCGAATCTGCCCGCCATATTAGCAGAAAAATTATTAATCCCTATCATATACCAAATTAGAAGGCAGAAAAAATCAAAAAATAAGTTTTACTTGCAGTTATCTCTTCTGCAATGGCAGGTTCAACACAACTTAACGAGCATGGTAATTTAGTAGGCGATTTATTATTTAAACTTCTGCTATCGCTATTAATTCGTCTAAACAATAATATAAATATCAATAATCAATAAAAATGAGAGATTTTAAAATGATAAGCAATAAAATATAATTTCAAAATTTTGCTACAGGGAAAGATCTTGATCTTTCTGGTAAAAAACAAAGTCTATGTTAGAGAACGAAAATATATGCCATTTTGCCATCGAAAGAAAATTTTAAAAAGGACCACAGATTTCCAACTGCTGTCGAGCATAATTTAAAATAAAGATCATTCGAAAAAAATGCTGAAATATTTATTATTTATATAGATTTTCCGAGCTTTTATGTACTTTCACTTTGCAAGTTTCACTAAAGATAATATATTTGTAAATATTCGATTTCAGATACAATCAAAGCGACAAACCTTAAATAATGATTTCGAACATTTTTTCGCCATTTCCAAGGGCGCAAAATCCTCAACCAAAATTTTGAGGAAACAAAAGGTTTGGCAAATAACCGTGGTCGTACAACACGTTTCCATCTTTTACTCGGGCTAAGAATATTAAAATTGCAAAAGAATATAAAATAAAAAAGAAAAAAAACAAAAATAAATAAATAAAATATGAAAATAAAATGAAGATGAAAATAAAATGAGCTATCATCACTTATACCAGTCATAAAGCAAATGGACCTACTTATCATAAAAATTCAATAATGAATAGGAAAATTTAATTCTTTAGCCATTTAACTCCTAAGTAAGAAAATTCTTCTTGCGGATTCTTCTGAAACCGCATTTCTGGTTCACCTAACTCCACTCACTATTAAGATGACATTCCTTCATCAGAGAATTAGAAATAGATGGGTATGCGAACTAAAAACGGATGAAACGAATAATTAAACGAAAAATTCATAAATGACTTATATACTTGAATGAAATATATTTTATTCCCAATTTTTCGGTTGCAAACTTTCAATTTGCAAAAATTCAATTTAAAAGTAGGTAAAATTATCTCTTTATGTACAAACCTAGTCCAGGACAAGTATCGTATAATTTCACATTTCACTGCATTTCGACACCAGCTAGGTCAAAGGGCAAAAAAATTCAAGGCTTGCCAAGGTTACAAAAAAAATTAAATTAACCTGTGATCATTATGGCATGAATCTGAAGTAAAGTGTGGACTGGAATTATGCATATTTGAGTTACTATTTGAAGGCACATTTTCAGCACATTCATTCATATTACTGATCCTATTGTCAATAATTGCCGTTATTTTATTCTCCATACAATTGTTGTTCTCCATTTCTTTAAAATTATTACTGATTAAATAAATTATTCAACAAATTTTTTCAATATTTTAAGAACAATTGCTCAATAATAATGATTAATAAAAATAAACAATGATTACAATTATAATTATAATAACAACTGTAATAACAATAAATACAAAAAAAATGAAGGAACTGATGGAATGCTACTATAAATATGAATAATAATAAATGTATACATAAACATATACATATATAAAAAGGCAAGTAGCTGGCATTGTCTACAAGAACATCTGCTCGGTATATGGCTGAAATCCTCCCAAGATTAAATGCGAATTTCCTGAGAAAATCGTAGAGAATAATAAGGCGAAGATCCTGTGGAAGTACTTATCCAAACAGACAAATAAATGCTGACCAGTCAACCAAATATCGTGATGATAGACAAGAATCAGAAATCAGCATTGGTGACTGATTAAGCAACACTAAGCGACAGGAATGTCAGAAAGACAAAATGTGAGAAATAACAAGAACTGAAAGAAAAACTAAAGAAGATATGGAAAGTAAAATCCAAAATAATACCAGTGATAACTAGATCACTTGGAACTTGTGACCCATAAATTAGAAAAGTGGCCTCAGTAAATTCCAGGAGCAAAATCAGAGATCCAGAATAGAGCAACACTAGGAGCAGCTAAGACATCCCGCAGAACATTCAATCTCTCAGGCCTCTGATAGAGGGTCCGCGATTGAGGGTGACCATCCACAGAAGGGAAAAAATTTATTTAATATTTTTACATTTTCCATAAAAAGGACTTAGGATAATTAAATGATGCCTAAACCCAAAAAGAAAACATGAAACTATTCGGATTATTCTAGCTTTTGCAGAGTAAAATATGAACAGTTATTTATTACAACTTATAAATTTCATTCACTATAGCGCTAGGCATATAAATATTTAAATCAGAAGTTATTCTGTGCATAAAGCCTGTTAGCATTCCGTTGGATCCTATGAAACTCTTCTTAGTGTCAAAGGACTCCGAATATTTATTATCAAATATTCAGTTTGTCAAGGAAGAAAGAGATTTTCGCTGAATCTGAAGCCTGCTGATAGAAGAGTAGAAGAGTAGCAAATAGCGACAATCGGAGATCAATCGACAATCGAACGACAGACTTAGGAAAACCCTAGCAACGGACGGTGCTCCACAACGAAAGCAAAACAACCCACTGCGCCTCTCTCTATTCCCACGAGAACGAACTAAAAGGGAAAATATAAAAATTGCAAAAAAAATGTTTACCTTTATGAATTTCGGCATTATTCGACATAAAACAATTAGAATTCTTTTTCATTAATAAATCATAAAATTTTGAGCAAAACCATCATTGAAATTTTCATTTAAATAATTATCTGGAACAGAAGAAAAAAAGTAAAGCGTTGCCGACAAATACACGAAATACGCGACTCGCGCAAAAAAAGCACAAAGGAACGAGATTTACACGATCGTTTTTAATCGAATTTTAAAGTAAAATTAAATATAAATAAGTTTTTTTTCTTGAACAAAAAATTAAATCGTTCATCAACTTTTTACTTAAAACTCTTCGATAAGCGTAATAAGCAAACACTCGAAACGGCCAGAAATTTGTGGAGAATGACCCGAAAAAAGCTCCAAGCCAAACCGCACTCGAGGAGACACGTCACCAGACGACCACGATCATATCAACAGGTCACACAAGAGAACAATTTAAACGTTATTATGAACAGCTGCCATATTTGTGTAATAATAACGCCTTCTGATTTTTAGCACTTCAGCCGAATGTCGAACAATCAGCTTTCCTATGTCGTCGGTTGAAATTTTTTTCTTAGAGCTATGGCGAAGGTGAATGAGTATAATAGTGTTTTAGGATTTAGGCATGCTAAGCTGTTAGGCCATTGCGCATGAGATAGGGTCACCATAGAGCAATAGGTCCTTTAATCTAAAGAATCAACATCATTGGTTGGATCACTTTGTATCGACGAGGACATTTTGGGCGCCCACTTTGCACCAATTACCAATTCGTATATATCGGTTTTCAGTGGCCGCGGTGTCACCATTGAGGTTGCGGAACATAAGAGAAATGGTGCATCTCGAACGTTTGTAGAGCATCGTAAATGCTCGGTTAGTACTCTCTCTCGCATCCGATTTATTTTAAATATTTTGATAAAAATTTTGATTTGCTTCTTATCATACGATAAACTTATCATATTTTATAATTTATCACCCATTTTTATCACAAATGAATTTTTTAGGCAAACGGTTTCATTAAAGGGAGACTTTGAAAGGTTACTGCAAAAAATGATAATAAATAATAACGAAAAAACATGGAATGATAAATAAAAAACTTGTAATTTATCCATCTAAATTAGCATTTTTTTCTAAAAAAAACTAATTTAAGTGAATGAATTGCTAAAATTTTTTTCCGCTTTTATAGAAATATTGAATTATATTTGATAAATATAAAAATATAATCCAAACTTAATCATTAACCTTTATTGTTTACAAAAAATAAAAGATTTGAGCGAAAACAAGGCAATTTATTAGTAATAACAAGTGATATGATATGTATATTGCCTATGTCTTATCACATTACTTGGTTTTCGATTCGAATATTGTTTTAAAAAAAATTGCGTCACTCGAATAGATGACAATGTAAATATATGAATAAATATAGAAAAATGATAATAATAATATTAACGTCAAAATTATTTATATATTAATAATAATAAACCATAATAATAATTAATAGTAGCAACAATATTCATTAATCATTATTTAAATGGTAATTAGGAAAAATAATAATAAAAGCATAAAAGTAGTAAAAAAATAACAAAAGCATAAAAATAGTTGCAATAATAACAATATTAGTCGATTAATTAATTAAATAATTAATTGATAGTGATAAAAATAGTGATAGTAATAAATAATAAAATAATAAATGGTAAATAATAAATAAGAAAATTAATAATGAATAGCCATAATAGCATTTATAGCAATAATAGTAATTGCAAATGAAAATGAAAGTAAATACAGGCGAATATTGCGGTTTTTAATGCAAAAATTAATAGGCATACAATAAATTATAAAATTTACAAGGCAAAAATTGTTGAATTGACACATATTGACACACAATACATACTGGTGACTATTTGTACCGTTTGGTGATAATTTTTTATGATATAAATGATTAGAATTAGAAGAATGTGAATTTCCGCTATTTCCAAATTTAATAAGCCTATCAATTGTTCAATTCGAATTCATAGACTTTTTTTTGCATCTAAAATATTTGATGGAAAATACCATAAAACAATAATAATGAATTATTTAATTATATTCAAGTTTTTTTTAAATTTAAAAATTTAAAAAAAATTTAAAAAATTTATACATTTTTTAAAAAATTTATTTATTAGTATTACAAATTATCAATAATTTGTAATACTAATAAATTCAGCAATAATTTATCGATTAAATTGAAATTTCATAAATTTTTATCGAAAGAATTTATTAAATATTTTTTATTCTATTTTTGCCGAAATTTAACTAATAATTTGTTTTAATTGGTTTTATTTGCTAAATTTTTTGGAAAATTTTTTAAATTTCTCTCTAAAATTGAATCAATCAAAAGCCAATAATTTATAATAAAAAATTACGAACAAACATATTTCATACTGACGTATTAAAAAATAATTTAATTATCACAGAATAATTTTTCAATAATTTTTTTTTTCGCCCTTACATTTTATGGGCTAAAAAGAAAGGAAATGCAACAATATTTTAAGAAAGCTGCTTTGATTATTATAACTAATTAAATTGGATATTGTTAATCCAGTAAAAAGCCTTCTTAAATCTTCTTATATCTTTTTTCTTATTTCCTATTTTAAATATATTTAATATTTTTTTAATATTTTATAATATTTTTCAATTCAAATTCAATTTCAATTCAAATATTCAAAATATTTGTATTATTATAAAAATAATATAATAAATTATAATAAATAATACAAAAATATTCAAAATTATTTAAATTGTTTCTCTCAAATTACTATGGAATTTTAATAATTCAAAAAAAAAAACGAATATTATAGGTATTATTTAATAAATTCGTTAACGATTAAATGAATGAATTTATGGCTTAGAAAAAAATTACAAAAGAAATTACTAAAATTTGGCATTTTCAACGATATTAATTAATTACATTCATATTAATTTAATTTAAATTAAATTAATATTTGGTCAAATAAAAATTTTATTTAATATTTAATTAAATTTTATTTAATATTTATATTCATTGATGGGAATTAATTAATTCATCCTAAGTGTGAATAAGTGAATAATTAATTGGTGTTGCTGTAGGCAAATTAGAGAAGATTTGCTCTGCGTGAGCAGCGCGGTCCAAATCCAAACGAGGCTGATAACTTATTAATGCTTCACCACCGCAAGGTGTTGAACCCCATCTTAGAATTTGTACGCTTTCAGCTAAAATCTAAAAATAAAATTATTTAAGAGCGAAATTAAAAACATTTTTATTATTTGAGATTCTTACATGATTTTAAACTAATTTAGTGGTTTTTTTTCTTTTTTACTTAGTAATTATTCAAAAATCTAAAAGCGAAATAAAAACGACCTCTGGATGAGAGTGGAAATAAGCAAGAAGATCCTGTGGAGTGACGGTTGGACAAAGATTTGTAAAATACGCAATACCCGGTTGAATTGGTGGCAGTCGGCAAAGATTCGATGACACGGGTGGACAAGGCCAATAAACCGATGTGAAAGGTGGCGCCGAAGGTATTAAACTTGATATTGCTAAAAATATATTATTTTGTCTATTTTTTATTTTTATTTTAAGAACCTTACAATTATTAATTGGGCTCGCTCGGTTGGCTCGGCTTGCCGCATTAAAAAAATTTGCTCCTTGGCGATAGAAGTGCAGGTGAGTTGTCAGCATCACTCGGATTTTTGGTCAGGTTTACTCATACGGGGAATAGAACCTCGCCATCAGTGCTCCGAATTAAGCAACAGCAACTCAACTACTGAGCCATTCTATGGTAAATTCAAAAATAGAAAATCAAACAAACCATTAATAACCAAAATAAAAAAAAAAAAACATGAACGCAATAAAATAATAATAAAAATATCAAAGTAGAAAAAAAAACTATTGTATTAGTAAAAATAAACTGAGAATATGTTTATTTTATATCGAATCTCATCGAAAATTCTTTAATTTATTTTTAAAAATTAGATAATTAATTGTGTAGAAATTCCATTGGTGCAATCGATGACATTAGGAGAACTATGGCAATGAATGTGACTACAAAACCCGAAAAGTGACTTAAAACAGATTTCAAGGCCTCCTTACTAAGACTAAATACTTCGCGGAACCCTGGGACTCTCAATATTCTGGAGGAAAACTCGACATTTAAGTCGCACGCATCACTCGCGAGGTGAGAAAAAATCCAGTAAATTCTATGAAAAGTATGCCAAATTTTTTTATTGTAATAATTCGTTGTACTAAAAAAAATAAAATGAAATAATACTAATACTAGCTGTAGCTGATTTTTCAATCAAATATTTTTAGTTTGCATGATAGATTTGTTTCCCTATTAGCCTTAATTTTTTTCTTATCAGCAACAAACTAATTAATTTTATCAGCATTTTTATCGACTCATCAAATTTATTTAATCACACCAAAATCAACTTTTTCTATCAAAAAGCAATAATAAATTATTGCTTTTTAATATTTATTGCATTTTATATTAATTATTATATTTTTTATTAATTATTACATTTTATATTAATAATAATAAAATAATAGAAATGTTTTAATAATAATAAAACGAACGTTGTTGAAATAGTGGTTGAGATGGAAATATAACTTGAGCGGGTATTTGAGGTGGATTTGTTACCATCAAATTCATATCGTCAGGTCCGCATTGAAAAACTTCAATATAACGCTGTTTCTTACCAATTTGCATATATTTATTATGAGCATTAGCGGCAGCTGAAGCAGCACTTGCTTCCGAATCCATTTGTATGAAAGCCTCGCCACTCGGATTTCCTTGAGCATTAAAAACCATATGAACGCCCTAAAAGCTTTCAGCTTTTTTTCGGCCTATCATAAAATAAATTTGTGCTAAAGTTAGTCGAGAAATTATCTTTAAGAAAATTTTTCAAAGTTTATTTGCATCCATTTGCCCACGGCAATAAAGGCAATAAAGCTAAATAAAAAGATCGTCGAAAGTACCATGAGTTCGTATATGATATAAGTGCTACTGCTTTGTTGCTGTTCTCATTACCATAGCTCAAATAGCCAGAAATGGAACTTTTCTATAGCCTAGATTAGTCGCCTCTCTTTTGCTTAGTTCTTTTTTGTCTTCTTTTATAAATTCTTTTATAAATTATAAATTCCCCGATTCCCGATTTTTTGCCACTATTAAATAATAAATATGAACATAATTTGCACTTCTCCGTTTGTGGATATTGTGGATATTTCACGGGCGTATTTCCGTTCAAGTGCTTTTGTTCGCGAAAACGCTTAGTTCTACAAATTGCTATTTTTTCTAGTTTTCGTTCGAAAACTATATAAATTACTACATTAGCCTACTTGAAAAACAATATGGCGAGCAGATTCGCCGAGAAATTCAACGATATTTTCGACATGAGCTTCGTATGGTAGACCCCTTAATCGAATACAGTCTCTGCGCGTTGTTCCTTGACCTGTTGTTTGAGAACCTTCTGATGCAAATCTACTCACAACTTGTTGTACTTCAGCTTGAGTTGACCTGGAAATAATCGTATAATATCTCTGTGGAAATCTCTGTGGAAAATTTTTTGAAGGAAAAACAAAATAATAGAAATCATGATTATATTTGCTTTCAACGATATTTATCAAGCGATATTTTATTTGCATCCAAGAATACAGCAAACAAAAACGAAAAAAAAAAAAAAAAAATGCATAATTTTTGCCGATAATGTTAGGGTTTTTAGTAAAAAATTTGAGGACTTATTTATATTAATAAATAGCCAAAAATGCCATTTCAAAAAAGATGAAAAGAAATTGTTAAAGATACGATATTTTTTTTAGTTTATTGGTACCGATAAAAAACTAAAAACCTGAAAAGTTCGATATAGCGAGTTCCTATGGAATGTCGGTGTTTGCTTAGTGCCCTTAATCCATCAGCTTCGTCATTAAACATTACGAAAGCGTCACCAGTTGGCCTACCATCATTTTTATTTACAAACAAAATTCCGTCATCCATCACTTTACATCCATTTTCACCGCTAGCAAAAAACTCTTTCTAAAAATTAATTGTTTGTATCAGACATGTCGACTACTGATGCCATTAATGTACTTCGATAATAATAACTAAAATAATAATAATATTATTAATATAATAATAATAGTAGCAATAATAATAGTAATGAAAATTAGTAATTTAACGAGAAAGGTTCTGATTCAACAACACTTGACTACTGGATCAGTATTCTTCGAAATGCCAAGCTATTGACCAACTTTTAAGAATTTTTTATCAGTTTTTGTTTGATAATAATTTAGCTAAAAATATAACTTCTGCCAAATTAAGATAAATTTCGAAATATATTTTTATATATTTGTAAATATTTTTTTAATAATCAAAATATTTCTGATAATCTTTGTATAACCAAAATAAAAATAAGAATAGAACTAATAATAGAATATTTAAATCATCGAAAATTTGAAAATATTGGAAATTTTCAATTAATTCATTTCTTTTGTTGAGGACAAAGGTATAATAGAATAAAAAAAAAATGCACACAATATTTATCATCAGTGATAATATTTTGATAAAAATGCTAATAATTTAGTCGAAAAATTGCATATCGTTGATCATTGATTCTTTAAAAAAGTGATTAAATGTCCCAAAATATTTAAAACATCGAAAGCTGATTAAAACTACTGGTACAGAGAATATTCAAGTAAACAAATGGAACGCATCGCATTAAATCGCTTCCAGCAAGTGAATAATTATAAGCGATGTGGTACCCACTTTAAGCATTTATAAGCATGCCAAACACTATGATGCTTGGTCACAAGCGAGAAGGATACAATCAAGACTTGGCATGACTGATACAGAGAAGAGATTTTGAGCATAGAGGCAACCAGGCAACAATATTTGTATTTAGACGGTGGAAAAAGGAGCCACTTCTTTAATCTCAAGTATGACATTGACTGGAACGATTTGGGAACGCTTTAATTTGGAGCTAATTGAGCTGACCTAACCAGTAGCGATGAAAGTTATAAGAAGTGAGAAGCGCTGTAATACCACCTTAAATAAGCTGTGCATCCCATCTTATAATTATCAGCGAGATGGGACATTATGCGATACGATAGAAATCTCTTATCTGATAAGTCAATCTTCAATCTTATCATAAATTTCATATAACGACTATAAGTACTTTTTATGATTTTAAAATCAACTAGTTTTTCAACAATTTAAAAAAAAAACTAACAATTTGTTTTTCAGTACAATCATATGGTAAGCCTCGCATACGAATGATCATCGCTCCTCCACGGCTTATGAAACTAACTGCTTCCGAACTCGAACCTTGCAAAATAATAGATATTTTAGCAATTATATATAACCATTTTTAGCATAAAAAATAACAAATTTTTCATAGAAAATATTTTCATTTTGGAAACGAAATGAAAAAAAAATTATTCCCATAATATTTTAAAATTATACTTTGCTTTTTGATATTTTTTCAAAAAAAATTTTTCTTTTCTTCAATTTGAATAAAATAACAGAATAGGAAATGAAATATTGCAAGTAATATTATAAGTGAGAAAAAAAACGATAAGGTTTTCTTTTTTTTTGCAAACATGGAAAATTATGGAAAAAATATAAAAAGAAATTTATACTATCAAAAATTTAGAATTTGCGAAACATAAATTGGAATGAGATAAATCGATCAAAAAAATTATTATCAAATAATTATTATCTGATATTTCTAGATGAGTCAAAAGGAGTTAATTTCGGAACTCCTTGTTTAGAGATAAGTTTGTGTGAATGCATCATTCGACCAAAACAGGAAGAGAACAAGAAATATTACATTTAATTGGCCTGTCTTCACTAGTATCAATTTTTCATAGGCTTCAAAAAGTGCTAACGTTGAGCATCACATATGAAATCCTCCTAAGCAAGTTGTACAAGGCGATTAGATTAACACAGATTAGCTTAAACTATAAGTAAATTTTAATTAGCCTTGTGTGAAAACGGAAAAAATTATATGCATTAATTAGAGATAGCGATAATCGAAATGTTGTAAAATATTTAAATTGTAAATTATAATTATTAATAGAATCTTAGCGATTATCTTTATTATTATTATTATCAAAAATATATCACTAGCATATAGCATATCAGTCGAAGCAAGGAAGTAAATGAAGCATCAACATCTCCCAAACATCACCATAATCAACCACTAAAAAATGGCACCACACACCTGTCGACATCATAATAAATAGATGGATTCTATTCTATTCGTTGCTTCACAGCCAACTTTTTCCACATTCTATTTTCCATGATTGGTTACCACATCTTTCTCGTCGTTCAATTCTCTCTTCTTCACCAATTATTTTTATTTGCGTTTCCATACGAAAATCCAATGAAAAAAAGGGACCCCATCAAATTATCATCCAATACCCTCCATTCTTTCGGTTTTTTTTCTAGTTTTTCATCGAATTTATGAACTATTTCGTATCAACGAAATAATTTTTATTAATTTCGATTAATAAATAAATTAGACAAATTGCCGATTTTCCTTTTTTTTTTATAAAAATTTTTTGTTATAAATTTTGTAAATCTTTGAAAAATAATATTATAATGATTATAATAATATGATAATATTTAAAATAATAAAATAATGTCTTAGAAAAATAATAAAATAATATAAAATGTAATAATATTATATAAAATAATATTTAATTAAAATTAATAATAATAAAAATTAATAATATTTAATTAAAATTTAATAATTTATGTATGAAGTTAATATATTAATTATTTAAATATTAGTTGTAAATTAATTAATTAATTAAATCAATAGTTTTGTATATAAATTAAATTAAATTTATATATAAAACTATTTATGCACTTTTTATAATGAATTTTGTTTATTAGCATGAATAGTAAGTAATATTAGTTGAAATGGCCCACCAGCAAATTTTTGTGAGAGACGTGTTTGTGCCGGAATTGAACCACAGCGTCACCTCTCCGGGAATTATGGCAACAAACTATTTGTTATAAGCCACAACTTATAATTGTTAGTACTATTCCATATGGAAAGATTATAAGAAGCCACGACTTGCAGCAATTATGCATCGTTTTTTTTTGTTAGTACTCTTATGTTTACAAAAATAAAAAATTTTAACGAACATTGAAAATAAAATTTGTAATGAAAATTCGTATTTTCAAAGCGAGAAAAATGGAAAAGAATATGTATTGCATCGAAAATTTCTTAGATGCCATCGTCACCATTACGAATTAATATTAAATTCTATGCTGAGAATACTTTCGAAAATTTCATTTCATTTTACATATTTACATATATTATATATATTTTTACGTATGTGTTTTGCATGAATGTATACGATGATATAAATATTCTTATCAGTATTGACTATCTTTTAATAATATTGTAATTAATAAACAACCCTAATAATTGATAAAGTGCGTAATCATCAGTCATCGTCAGTAGCAAGAAATTTGATTTTTAATAATTTTATTGCAAGATGAGAATATTTTGGAAGTGCCTCATTCTTTGTAGCTAGCTGAATCAGTAAAATCACTGATAACCAATAATGGCACTAGTGAACTGCTGAAAAATTTACGATTTTATTGTCAAAATAAGCTCGACGTTGATATATAGCAAATCCTACCTGGCAAGTCAAGAATATTGTATAAAAAAGAAAGAATATTATTAAATACAAAACACTTTTATACTAATATAGAAATAAAAAAAATGGGGACAAAATTTGATTCTTATCTATCTCGTCGATTATTAGAAAATTATAGAATCGTTCGTCTTGAAATATAGAAATTTATTGTTTTAAAAATGGATTATGAATGATTATCGATGATTATCACTGTGTATAGGATTGCCGAATGCCTAGACTAAGATCATTATCCTTTAATTCTCTACTTTAAAAAATACCATTCATTGGTGAAATTCGGATGATGCTCAGGATGCCTTATTTCTAGTCGCCTTAAGCGACTTTAAGGAGATCCAACAGCTATCGACGCAAGCCACAAAGAATTAATTTTAAAAATATTTTGTTGTTTTTGATGAGGAAAAAAGAAAAACGAAGCTAAAAATAGCATCAATAAACGATTTTTTCTCCTTAGCAATATTTTATTAAATGGAAAAAATTTCCAAAATTTATACTTTTTTTCATCTATCAATGAAGACATTCTTTTTTCACAAATTGCTACGAGTGATTACAATTTGCTAAACTTTCAATCGACTAAACATTACTAAACATATTTTCTCAACTGACTGAATGAGTATTTGGCAACTTTTTCTTATCACTAAGGTAAGGTATTTTACGTTGTTCTCGATTCGCACTTTGTTTCCACTTGTCGAATTCGGCAAATCTGTTTCGCTTTTTTTTTTTATTTAAACGGAGAAAAAGAAAACCTACTAGCAATAACTTGAAGAAAATCCTCTTTTGTGGCTCGGTAAACTTCAATATAGCGATTATTAAGAAAATGCCGATTCCTTTTTAAAGCGAGTTCGCGCTGCTCATTTGTTTCGAATCGGACAAGTGCTTCGCCATTACGACGACCTTCTGCGCTCAAACAAAGTGCTACTCCACCGCTAAAATAGTAAAATTTTTAATAAAATTAAAAATTTTCTCCATGTAGAAAAAAATCATACAAAATAAGTTGTGATAATCGATAAATTCTTCCCGGGAAATCGTTGCTATGTGCAATTCTTTAAATGAGTATATTTTCATGGATTAATGAAATTCTTATTGAAAATAAATTTGAGTTTTATTAATTTTTTCATGAAGACAGTGAAAAAATTCGGTCTAACTTTCTTCGTTTTCTTCCCTCCTTCCGTTTTCTTCCGTTTAAGTCTATCAAATGAACGAAATTAACTAAAATTTATCAAAGACACAGAAATTTTTATCGCTTTTGCCTACCATTGTAATCATTTCGTCTTTAAAAAAATATTTTCCTTATTTTCATAGAGTAAATCTTTCGATATTCTCATTTCACTTATAGGGGAAAATATTGAGAAATACAAATGAAAACTCACAAAACTCAGTTATCTCATTCATAAATTCGCAACAAAATTGCGACAAAATCGCGAAAAATTTACACAGAAAAAAATTGCAGAAAAATAAAACTTTAAGATACTTTAAGATTACTATTTTCTTATGAGGTGGAATTTTCTTATGAATGGAATTTTCGTCAACTTTTACTGTTTCTACTTTGGCTAACCTTAGGCTCGTGCCAGGCTGTTCTCGCAGAGAGTCATATAGAGATAGAGAGACAAATAGCTTCTCAGCACTTAGATTTCGCTTTCGCTTTTCGCTTTTAATGATATGTTTACTCTCGGCAAAGGACAGAAGTAGAATCCATGATTCTAAACTAAAGCAATATTTCTTGAATATTCTGCAAAACAATTTAGTAGAACAGTTTGGTGAATTCTTTTTTTTATAAAATTTTTTTTATATATAAATTTTTTTAAATTTAATTTTAAAATAACTTTTTAAAAAATTATATAAAAAATAATTTTTTTTGAAAATTGTGCTGTTTAATAATTTTTATTGAAGAATTTTGAAAATATTAATTAAAGAATTTTGAAGCTCCAAAATTATTTTATAATATTTTATTTATTATAATTATTACTATAATTATTAAATTATAATTATAATTATTTATAATTATTTTATTATAATTTTAAAATAATTTTTCAAAATTGAAATAATTTTAAAATAAAATTTGAATAAAATTTGAATTTGAAGAATTTCTTTTAGTTTCAGCTATTTTATTAATTAATAAAATTATTTTTGGAAAAGAACCATTAAATCTAATATTAGCTAATATTAGACTGCGAAAATGCTGCAAAATACCGCATCGCGAATTTATGAATTTATAATCGGCGAATATACAAGGTTCGTCTCAAGTCTCATGACAAGTCTCATCTCAAAAACAGCTATTTGAGAGTGAAAGTTATCATTAAAAGCGAAATCCATATGACATTAGGGTCGAGCTTATTGTACTTCACTGGCACTAAATACGATGGATTGATTATAAGAGAAATAATGAATGATGTTGGAAGGAAGAGAAGGCGCTGACACTGGCCAATCATTGCAAATTGTCATCCGGGATTGAACATTTTACGTACTTTTGGTTTAATAATTTTTGGTTACTCTTATCGCTCTTCCTGGTTTGATTTGCATCATTGACTGGAAAGTCTCCTATGACTCCTTCAGCAAAGAGTCACTTAAAGTTAGAGAATTGGCAAGACTACTCGAAGTACTAAGAAAAATAGTATCACTGGACGTTATCTCTTACGTTTGAACTGCATTTGTTTATTCTTGTATTTAAGCGCTGTACTTCGCTGTTATTTAGTGTCCTATGTATGTTATAAAATAAAAAATTAGTGCATTTTTAACCTCGATAGATCAAATTTTAGTTGTTTAAGCTATATAACCCGTTTTCTTGCGTGATTTTTCGTTCGATTCATAGAGAAATCAAAGAAACTTTGTACTCTTAGATAAATAAAAATTCTTTTCATTTGTTGAGAGAAGCAATGTTGCCTAATGTGAAAATCTCCTTCACTAGCAATAAGTATGACACAAACTTACGGGGCAATATTGAGACCAATAAAAAACTGAGCAACGTCGAGATCTGTAGCTTGCCAAGGAAGTCCCCTTGCACGCACAATCACTGATGGATCAACTTCAGTTTCGCTAAAATTAGAATAAATTTCATGTAATAAAATGAAAGTTAAATTTTAAGTAATTACCGAAAAATCAGAATTTTTGAAAATTTTCTTGAGTGAAGCTTATTAGATTGAAATGGAATACAAAATAATTCGATGTTCTGAATATAAAACTATATAAATTTTGAATAAATTTTATAGGACGGCAAATTACTTAATTATATTTATAATATAACCCAATTTGCATATTCTATGCGAATTATTTTATTTTATTGCATACAAATAGCAATATTATCCAGTAGAACCAATTCCAATCTTTATTTTTTACTTTTTTCCACAAAGATGCATCGCTCACATCAACTCATGAAAATTTCATAAATTCCTGATTTGTGATTCTGATTTATATAATAATAAATACATAATAATTCTAATAATTCTATTAAAAATAAAGTTGGTCATTCCTATAGTTATTATTATTATTGCTGTCTTTATTATTATTGATAATAATCCTTATATGTTTATATGCTGTAATGCCGATACTCAAATAAAATTCAAAAGAAAAAGTATTGACAAAAAAACTAACCACAAGCCATTTTGTAGTTCAACCCGAACTTCATCAATATATGGCCTGAGCTCATTCACATTTTCACCTTAATTTTGAATTTTTCATTTATTTTGTATTAATCTCCAAAAAAAAAAATGATAATAATTTTAATAATTTATTTCGTGCGACGAAACTATTTTTTTTTAATAAAATATAAACATGATAAGCTGATAAGCAATTGAGTTGTTCAATAAATGTTTTTTTAATTTAATTAAAAAATAATTATAATTAGCATTAATGATAACAATTATAAATTATTGAAATTATATATAAATTATAAATTAATACATGGTTATATAATTTAAATTACTGTGTTTTCGTAATTACTGTGTTTGTTTACTTTTATACTACACTACGTCTATTTTTTACTATTTTTTTATAGTTCCTTTTTTTGCAATTCCTTTTATAATTCGTTCATTTTCTATTTCATACATTTCATACATATATGTATATATATTTCGTTCATTTCATATACAAGCTTATAGCTCTAATAGTCCCTCTTACGAAGAAAAAAGCGAGGTGGACCAATCATGACCTGGACTAATACGGTCAGGAAAGATTTTGAAAATATGGACCAGCAATATATTGGACTTAGACGTTCGAAAAAGGAATGGCTTTCATTACTGTGGACGATAGCATCATACCGTGCGCTTGGAAGCATCTTACTTTGTAGCCAGCGAAGCCAGGCTAAACGAGTAATGGTGAGAGCTGTTTGAAGAAATAATATATATGTATATAATGTATATGCTTCATATAGCGTTCACTCTTTATGGTTAGGCTTCTAATTTTTTAATGAAAAGTTTACTTCTATTTGAGGTAAAAACCGAAACTTGACGTTCGAGAAAATGATTTAAGTGAGACAATTATTTCACCTCCGAAGGCGAAGAGTAAAATAATAATAATTCGGGAAACCGCGGGTTGTTGATGGATGGTAAAAGTAATTTCGACAAAAATTTACTAAAATTTAAATAATATCGAATTTGTCGCTTATTTACATTTATTTCAAATATGTATAACGCTGTTTGTTTATAACCGAAGGAAATGTTTGTATAGGCAATGATAAAAATTGGTAAAAATATATTTATTATTACTATTATTACTATTTATTATTATAATATAAAAATATATTACCTTTAATAAATTTCTCTTTTATTAAGTGATTTGCTTTATTTAAATCAAATGAATCTTCGCTAAGATAGCCATTTGTAACCAAATCGCATAATCGTTCACAAATAGCGCAAATCTCTTCGTTAAGATTATTGCAACAATCGTTTGTCGTTGTTGAGGATGGCATTAATGGTTTAATAAAAATATCATCAAATTGAGCAATATTGAAAAATTTATAAAATATTTCACCAAGATTTATAGAATTTCGCAACGCAAGTGGATGAATTACTTGTCGTATTGCGGTGATACCATATGTCACCAATAAACTACCATCGGGTATGAAATTTTCAATCTGAAATTCCTTATTTTTATAGATATTTCTTCATTTCTTTCTTTTTTCTATTTAAAAAAAAGAATTTTTTTTTTGAATTTAATATGGATGATATAAAAAATGAAATGTATGTCGATCTCTCGCACGAATAATTAATTTGTGTTATCAAATCTTTTTATAGCGAAAAACTTATGAAGAATCACGATCCTAGCAATTAGTGGAACCTGGTAGATCAAGAAAAAGAAGAAAATCGAATATTCAAATTCCAATTATAGAATTTCCCCTGGGATATATGAAATTATGGACTAATTCATTTAGTTTCTTCTTTTAAATTGATTTTTTAATTCAGTTAATTTTTCGTTTCATTGCTTATAGTTGCTATCACATAATTATCAAACATATGTAATGGACCCAAGAAAACTATTTAATAGGCTCCGATGATTTATTAATTACGATCTTCTTGCAAATAAAGAAAAAGCTTTATTGTCAAATTTTATTTTTTGGCTCATAAACATGGCATTTTTAGGATCATACAATCTTCCTTTTCCATTCCTCTCCTTTCTCTTCTCTTTCATTCAACTTTTCATTTTTCCCTCGTCACTGTAACCTATATTCGCAATAAATTTCGTAAGAATCACTTTAATCATTTTTCATCAATTTTTATAATAAGTGATATATTTTAATAATGAATAAAAATTTTTCACATTATGCGGTTTTTAAGAAACCACGAGAAACCACAATTGAGGCGAAAGAAAAACGAGTATTGAAATGAAAAGGAAAAAGGATAAGAGTCCTATGTAATGGAATAGAACTGTTTAATTATTCTATCGATGAAATTCTAATAAGGATGAGGCCAAAAAAAAATTTAAAACATGATACCATCGTACATTTTTCTTGGTCACAATTTGTTGACATGAATAAAAATAAAAAAAAAAAATTTTTTTCTTTCATCTTTCCTAGTCCTGCAAATATATTATTATTTGGTTCCATTGACTACTAGCTGCTTTGAGAATTCTGTTTTTTCAGCGAAGAATCGTACCAATGAGGTACCAATGGATACACCACCACAGCAATAACCATGTGAAATAAAAGAATTTAATTTAATTATTTATAATTTAATAATTCATAACAATTTAATAAAATAATTATAAAAAATTATAACTTCTGCTAATAATTTCCTACAATTTTCTAAGAATTTCATCAATGAAAGCCTGAAATTCTTTTACAAATATTGTGTTTTTCATTAGTTTATGACCAATTTAATTTCCATTTATCAATAAATAAATTCTTTTATACGAATCACACATCTCATATTAATGCCTTTTAGATATTTGAATATTTAGATATTTACTTTTAGATATTTAAATGGAATTATTTTATATTATATTTATTATTATATTTATTTATTTTTAGGTATTTATTTTTATTTTTAGATATTTGATTCGTTTTTTTAACAAAAATTTAACAAAATTCAATTTAATTTTTAACAAAAATTTTAATAATTTTAAGAGAATTAGAAAATTAAAATTGCTATATTTATATATGAAATAAATGAACCTTGTCGAGAGCTAACTGTAGTCCGTTAACATTGACATGAATTTCTTCGACAACGCTTTTTTTCGAAATATTTTTCAGGTCGAAAATGGTATATGAAATAAGTTTCACAGGTGAACAATCCGAACCTTGTTCTTTTATAGTATTGGCACCGCTTGTTCGAAGTGCTAATGGTACCAAATATCGTAGAGGCATTTATTGCCGTTTTGTTTAGTAGATCAAATTCAATTAACAAATTCTACTAGCTAATAAAAACAGAAAATGAAATTTTGTCGTCGAAATTCGCCGAAAAGTCAAACGAGTGCGCCCGATGAGAATGATTTGACAGGGAAAATAATAGTTTCTCTTCTCGTATTGTGTATCTTTGCGTATTCAGTAGTGAATGGTGATGAAGACTATACTGGTGTTGAGAATAATGATATTGGTGATTATAGGTGATAGGTAACTGTTTAGGTTTTTGTGTTGGTAGTATAGGCGAAAACATGAATTTTTAATTTTTTAATCTTTACTTAAATTAATACAGTCAATGAAAGGTATAACATGAATGTCCTTGGGAACATATGCCAATAACCAAAAGTTATTTTTGTTATTGCGAATCGCGTTAAGAAAACTCCGCGCATCCAGACCACGTCCCCATGCGTGAATTCTTTCAATATATACTGAACCGATTGTATCGACTGTCAATGTCGTTAATATTAAACCGATTAGGATGAAACCTATGGTTCCAGCTATATATTTTTCATCACCGTATGGTACCAAATCACCAAATCCAACAGTTGTCTGCAATTAAAAATTATTCGTTATTGTACTTTTTTAATTTGTCACTAAAAAACTAATTATTATTATTAGAATCAGAGCCGACTAATTTAATTTTTTAAACAAGATTTCAATTATTTTCCTTCGCAATTTCTTCAAAGCCATAATTTTTCTTCTCTAAGATCGCTAACCATTCCTGGTTAGGCTTCGCTGACTTGTTGAAGAATAAAGTCATTTGAGGCAGCTTGGCAGTTTCAAGCACTGGGAAACATACGTTTATTTCTTTGGAATTCCAGTATAAAAGCTCCGCTATGAGTACAACAATCCACTAAGTCACTAATTATTAAATTTTAGGCAGTGCATCATTTATTATCGCTCTTCGAATTTTTCTCTTATTTTCTTTTTTTTCTTATTTTTTTTGTAATTTCTTAAATTTTTGATTTCGATTTTACACGATTAGTATGAATAAAACGAAATAATATTAAATAGTCCAAAATGATTTAAATTTATTTAAATCATTATTAAATCATTATCAAATCATTATCATTAAATTTGTTTAAGGTTGAAAATATGTTTGTAAGAAAGAGCAGTTTTTTTGTAGGATTTTAATTAATTTTAAAATTTAAAATTTAATTTTCGAATTAAAAATTTATTATTATCACTTCGATAAATCTTTTGTAAATAAATTTATCAACTGATAAACATAGTCAATGATCAGAAATAATTTCATTTATCTGTTGATCTACTAAATAAATCAACGGAGAAGCAATTAATCAATAATTTCAAAAATTTGACCTTCCATTCGACGATAGTAATTTTTATAAATTTAATTTTTTATAAATTTATAAAAATTTTGGTATAATTTACCAAAAATAAAAACATTCAAAGATATATGGAATTTCATTTATTAAACTAATTTTCAAAAAATCAAAACCAAAATTATTCATAAATATGAGTGCCTCAAGGTGCCTTAGAAAATGAATTTTTTCACCCACGTCCAAGTTTCTAGGGAATTAGGAAGAAATTTCCCACTAGTTCCACTGATCTTTGATTGAAATTCAGCTCATTTAAATATGAATGCAACAAATAACCACAGTAACCAACTGTAATAATTAGTGAAAACTATAATTTTGTTATCAATAAATAAAGATTTTCAGAAATATTTTTTCATTGCATTGTATATAGATATATTCAAAGGGAGCCCTTAGGCTTTAAAGAGGAGTCATCGTGCTTCACGTGACCACTGAACAGAACCATAAGAAGCCTGCCTGGAGATATATTTGAATAAGAAAATGGCTCGCGGTAAAAAATTTCTATTTTTTTTATTTCTCATGCCTTAAAAAAAATATTAAACACTTCATTTGCATTTTTGGAATTGTTGATAAACCAAAAAATGACCTCTTCCTTCAAGTATTCAAAGGGTGGTAACTAGAAACTCAGAATTTGATTTAATTTTACTTTTCTTAGTTATTAAAATGTTTCATAACGTAATAAAATTAATAGAAAAAAGGTAAAATTTGTAAGATTTTATAAATTTGAGGATAAAATGCATGCGAATTCAGTTTTACAAAGCAATTTCAATGAAATTCTTTATCGAATATTTTTATCATAAAGTGATTAGCATATATCATTTCTGATTATGCAAGCTCCACTCGTTCGGTATAAATTTTTTGCCAGCGACTTATTTAACTACTTGTACAGGTGGATTGCAAGTGGATTTCTTCAAGGCAAACAGGCTTGCTCTTTGTTGGGCTTACGAGCAAATTCCAGATTATTGCTTATCAGTATCAATATATCCTTCTTTCAAATTTCTTTCTAATATACTTTCTTTTTGCACAGTTTTAGTTCATGAAATATTGCAAGAGTATAATGTTATAATTAAAACTGACCAGTGTAATAAGGCAGAAATAGAACGAATCGAGGAATGACCAGGCAGTTTCGAATAATGTAAAAATACTTGCAGCTGCTGTCAAATATATAAGTACCAGTAGTATAACTGAGGTTTGAATTACGCTATTTGGTTTAGTTACAATTATCGAGTTTTTTTTTGTATCAGTAAGTTCCAGTAACATTTTAGCCAAATCAGCAATTGTTATTAACATTAGTGGTATGCTGAATAAGTTATTTTGAAATGAAGACGATTTAAAGAAAAAAAAAACAAATTCTTAACAATAGTAATCAGTGGTGATAATGAAATAAATATATCCATTTAGGAACGAAATTTGATTACGATTCCCATAAATGAGTTGACAATTTTATTAATTTAATGTTTATTATGCATGAATTCCATCAAATATGCAATTTTAAATCATTATTGATAAAGTGAATGGTTCCGTCAAAAAAAACCTTTTTCCCTTCCTCACTTCCCTTAGCGTTTTAGGGACGAAATGTTTTCATTAGGAATTGAAACATTTAAAAAATTTGTATTTGTATTTTTCTAAATTTGAAAATATTCGCTGTATATTTGATAATAAAAATAAAATAGTTTTTTTAAATTTCATTTATTTTTAGCTCTTCCAAATTCTAAAATATGCAAAAAATTACCAACCCGAATGAGGCATATCCAACGCAAAAAAGACGACCAAATTTTGTAATTGGAACGAGATTTCCATAACCTATGAAAAATAAATAAATCAACTATTTGCCTTTTGCTTCAATTAGTTTTAGTTTTTTTCAAACTGGACGAATTTTGTCCGTGGATCATTTTAACAACTGAAATACAAGTAAAATGCTAGCATCATCCAGATTGTTGAAAAATAGGATGATTCTTGCATTCCTATTGCGAATAGAGTCCCAGCACTTCGAAATGAAGGATCCAATGTTAAAATACTTTTTTTTAATAAATTTTTTTTTTTGCAAATTAACTTATCGCTTGAAAATTTTGCTCAAAAAAAATGAAAAAAAACTTTTGCATATTTAATTACTTTTTGAAGAACAAAATTTGATTGATGTATATCAAAATAAAAAATTTAAAACTTAAAAAAATTTATTTGCAAAATTTTTTATTCTATTATTTTCATTAAATATTAATATTAAATATTGGAAAATTAAATTTTTAATTAAGTTGGATAAAAAATTGAATTAATGAAAGTGAAATATTATATTACAGTTATTATATTAAATAAATATTGTAAATTTTTAATTGAAATCAATAAAGTTGAAATTAAAATTAAAAATATTAAAAACACAAACCGATCGATGTAAGAAGCGTTGTGGTGAAAAAAATTGCTGATGGCAGATTCCATTTCAATGTTGAATTTATATGAAAATCATTCAATCTTATTCCTGCCTCGAACGCACTGAACGTTGCTTCGATCAAATTATCAATAACAATTTCTATCGTTGAATTATCAACATTTGGCGATAAATACAAAAATTCATCCTATATAATAAATTTTTTATGAAATTTATTTTAAAGATTGAAGATAATTTATTATTCAGCGATGATTACTATCAATATTTATAGTTAGGTTTTGCCAGATTTCATTATTGTTGATATTTGAAATGCTGAGATGAAAACGAAATACTACAATACAAACAAAAATAGGCAAATGGAATATCAAATGGCTTTCTTTATTATGGAACCTAACCTAATCAGAGGTACCAGGTGATTGTGGTGACTCACCAGTAGTTCTCTCGCTAAGGTACTCCATGACATTTCTTTGACAAGTCAACGAATAATAATTTGTGCTCTTAAAAAAAAACAATGAGAAATCTTAAGGAGTTCGAATAACGGTTTCTCTCTCACCGAAATATTTTACTATATTTCTTTTTTTCTAAGAGCGCTCACCACTTCTGCTTAGATTTACCTTAAATTGGACTGAACGAATTTTTTGCTAAATAGTATCACTTGAAGATGATAGATATACAGAATATACAGACAGAAATACAGATAAATCGCCTATTCACTTAGATCTATCTCGGATTTTTTTGAGAAGTTCACTTTTGCCGAGCTGCAGCGGAACCTTAGCATTTATTCTTATTGAGCCCGTCATTTCCTGGCATATTGACTAAATTATCGCTAATTTCCTTCAAGCTTAAAAAAAATTAGGGAAATATTTTGCGAAATTATTCCCCATTCCTTGAAAATTGGTCATATTTTTTTTCCAATTTTCTGCGTGAATTATAATCAGCTAGGGAAGCATTTCTATGATCAAATTAGCCACATTCATGTATAATTTTTTTTAAAAAATAATTTTCTAAAATTTTTTTCCAAAAAATACTTTATTTTTTAAGTTCAAATTTACCCATATTTCCATCGCATATTGAACAATGACTTCAAACCTGCATTTAAAAAAACCTAACTAACCTGCATTTTGCGAACATTTTGCAAATAGGAATCTCTATGGATCATCTCATTTGGACGCTCGATAGCAACGAAAATTATGGCTCCAATGAATAAATAAGAAGTTGTAGCAATTAATAATACCAAATGTGGACAAATTAATCGCAAATAATAGATCGGCACTATTTCGCCCATTTTATTTAACCGATTGGTTGCAACTTTGACTATCAAGCGTTAGGCTTAGTCTCTGACAAGAGTGAACTAGTCCTAAAAAATCCGAACGATATTAGTGATCTAATTTTTTGCCGAAAGATTCTCTGCCAAAGATTCTTCAACTTACGAGTAATCAGTATAGTGGAGCGAGCCTAGCCAGAACTTTTCTTTTTACTTACTAAAAAGACAATAGACAATAGAGCGAATTCGATGGAAAAAAAGTAGGATATGTAATGAGACAGTCGAATAAATAGTTGAAAGCGAGTTTCAATATTTTCATTTGTTCATCCTTTTTTCAAACAAGAAAAATCCACTTCAGATATTTTTTTAGAATATTTTTAACATTTGATTTATAATATTTGATGTATAACTGAAATCATGAAAATGACATATTTCAGACATATTAATGCAAAAAAAAAAAAAAAAAAATGTAAATTGGCATAATGAATGAAGTTTTAAAAAATCCCGCAAAATTGAATATTAGCATTTTAGTTATTATTTTAATATTTATTATTTTAATTTTAAGGATCAACAACATTTTATTATACGCGTAAATAATCGAGAATGACGCTGATAAATGGCAAATTTCGAATAAAAATTTAATTTCGAAAAGGCGGTGAACTTAATTTTTTATTGCCAAATTTTTGGCTCCTTTCGCAAAATTCCTCTGGCCAAACAAGTAGTAAACCTAATCAGAAATAATGAGTGCTTCAAGGGAAGCCAAATGATTAGTTTGTTAGGATTACTACTATTCTATGAAATTACGAAATTCTACGAAATTATTGTCTTTTTTTTTAAGAAAAGAAATTTCATTAGTCAAAGCAAATATGGTTCTCAGAAAGGACAAATATATTCGTTAGAAGAACTAAGACTATCTACATACGGAATGCAATAAATGAATTCGCCTTTGTTCCATTGATTTGGAAATATTTTCAAGAGAAAAAATATTTTTTAAATGAAGAATTTTAAGATAATCGAAGGTACATGTTGTATCTGATTAGTTATAACGATGAAAAGAATTTTCACTATAGAATCGCCTGGGGGCAAATATAAAGGTGGGTCCTCAGGAACACACGGACTAAAACGTAACCGTGATGTAGTGATGCTCAATTTCAGTAAAAATATTTTGAAAATTGTTAGCGCTCTAAAAATTTATTTTCTTCTTCAATTTTATTAAACCAACCATATTCTACGCAAATACAATATAACATAAGTTATGCAGTGCTGAGTCACAGATTAAGAAAGGAAACTGTACAATTCTGCCCACCATTAGTAACTGGATTCGCCCCACTGGCTTGTCGCACTAGACAAATATGCCAGGAAGTCTCTGACGATAGAAGTACGTGTAAGGGGCCAGAATCACTTGAATTTTTAAGTAAGTTTATCTTCTACAGAGGTTAGAACCTCAGGATCCTCAAGCGTTCCAAACTAAGCAACAGCCCATTCAGCTATTCCACTCCAAATTACCACTGCTGCAATGAGATTCCTCAAGGTTTATCTACCAATTCCGATAAAATCTTAGTCTAAGAATTTCATTTCAAAGTATGAAGGTTAGGTCTCACTGATCGAAGCAAATAACTATTGTCCCACTTTAACTTTAAATGTTACTTGGCAATTTTATTTTTTATTGTATATATAAGATAATGGAGTGGTTGCAAATTCTAATTTAGCAAATAACAATTGTCTCATTTTTTTCGCCTATTTTTAATAGTATCTTATTGATAATAAAGTAAATGACTCCAAGATCGCCGGTGGCTTAGTGGCGAGAGCGATTGTCACCGAAAATCAAAGATGACTTGCATATCAAGTTACCAGATGCAGCATGTTCAACGAACGTTGGAAGTAAAAGGAGATAAAACGAATCGAAGAAGAATGGAGTTCTTGGGAGGAATAAACTTATCCTTCAAAAATCAATGCAGCCTCATTTTAAACTGGTGAAGATTAGGTGTCATACTGGTGAGCTGTATTTCTATCACCAAATAACTCTCTGGCTATGTTGTCTGCTCCAATAAACGAAGTTTAACCCAGATTACTCTTAGAAAACAAAATACTTCAACCTGTTTACTATAGGCTATCTTTTAGCAATAACGAAAATAAGAAGTTTGACTCTGGGCTCTGAAGTTGAATCTTTATTGAATCCCACTATATAAAATATTAAAGCCTAAAATATTTATTACTCAATATTTTACAAATTGAGAATGAGCTTTCTTGAACGAGTAGATCTCAACTTCAAAGCCCTATAAAACTATAGAATATACTTAATTGCTGGACGGGACACCTCAAAACACGAAATTTCGTTCCTCTTTATATCATCGTTAAATGTCTCCTTAATATCCCTAAAGCTTCGTCCTTCTCTTTTAATGGTCTCAAAATATTTCTACAACTTTAATCCCTTCAGGTTCTATTATAGTTCTTTAACCTAACATCATTACGCTGTCCTAACTCCACGTTAAATTTCACATCTGCAAAATCAAAATGGTGTTGATTGGAGACAAAACGGAGGACGGGGAGAAGGACGAGAAGGACTGGAAGAAATTGAGAAAGAATGAGGATTATCGATAGGATTGTTGAAATATCAAAGAGTGATAAGGGAATATAACGAACTTTAAAAGAGATTCTCTTCCTTCTCTCTTGGAATGGAACGGTCAAATGAATACAAAATTTTGGCTGATTTTTTAATGAAATTGAAGTTCATATTGATTTAACCGTTATTATTTTTTCTATGTTTAGCAAGAAAATATCATAAATAAATAAATAAATAGGTTTAAATTGATACGAAAATATTTTTGAGTTCCCATGCAGAGTAAACATATATGATTAATACGAAAATAAACCTTACTTGTTTTTTTATCATCACAAAGAAGCAAAAAAAACGATTTTTATCATTTAACATCTGTCACAAACTTAATTATCGCCACAATGATAAAACTTATCATGCCAGTTAAGATCTGATTAATTGAATAATCATCGTCCAAATAATTGTACAATAAAGATAATTAATTATTGCGAAAATTAACTAATTAATTAATTTTTCAAAATAATTTAAATAATTCTAAATTTTTGAATTTTTATTATTATTACAATGTTGCAATTTTTATGTTTCGAGCTTTTTATTATTATTTATTATTTTGCTGAGGTTCGCTCCTCCAGCTTGTCGCGCCTTTGCCATGGAGTCCACTTGGCAGTGGAAATACAACTGAGTCATCGGCACCACTCGGTCTTTCGAACCTTTCTCCCCTGGTACCTCCTTATTATTTTAAGACAATTTCACCTCGAAATTTCTCTACTTTTTTAGCATTTCGTTAGTGATCATTTATTTCATTCGTTTTCATTTGTAAATTTACATTAATTCAAATCAACGCTTAATTGATCATTTCTGAAGGTGTAAAATGCAGAAAAATTAATAATGAAATAAGAAATTCCTTACATTAATCAAGTTGAATTATTATATGAAATTAATATATTCGTTTATTCGTACTTTCTTCGATAATAACAATAAAACGCATTGACAATAAAAAATGAAACAATGAACCTTTAGCTAAATACTCAAAGGAAAATAAAAAAATATATATGATATATTATTTTATCACCTTATCACTCGATTGTGAACAAACCAGCGAGTAAACCAGCGAGAACACAGTATCTACATAATAATTTTCTATATTAATGTACATATCATATATTTGCCAAAAAAAATTTATCCATATTTACCACAGTTTATACTGCGTAAAACTCTTTTCAATCTTCTTTAAATATATACCCTAATATTGATAAGTGATAATATTTCCAGAAGGGATCCTAAAGCGATCTTGATACTATAATTCAATTGTTTCATTTTAAAACTTCTATTGAAACAAAGTTCATTATCAGATCCACGCCAGAAATTTCATTTTCTCCCAATCAGTTATTAATATCAATTTAGATTGACTCGAAGTTTCATTTCCCCTAATCACTTATCAATATGCGCTTAAATTGCTTTTAGATACATTTAAATCTTTTAAAGCTTTTAGGGCATATAATAACTCCCTCGCAAATCTCTCTTAGAACTTAACATCCCGAGAAACTCTGTTATGTTTCCTTTCCTTAATCCATTAGACAGTTTTTCCAGGCTAGTTGAAATCTGCTTCGGACTCCTACAGTCTTATTCCTTTCGCCATTTTTATCAAACCATTTTGCTAAAATCAAATAGCAGGCTCTCTTAATTCTTGTACTTTAGTTTCAATTTATATTATGTAAATTTTTTTAATGGTGTTAGCCTTAATATGACATTGGAACTTTCTGAAACCTGCCAAAGTTCCTCTGCATTCTTCTTTGCTATCATCATTTGACGTTTTTTCAAACCACTTTCTAATGACTCGAATTTTTCAACCTCTTAATAACATTCTATTTTGCATTCTTAATGCCTCATTCCACTTTTGCAGCAAAAACTTAAAAATTAATTGCAAATTAATGAACCTTGAAATAAGGAATACACTAGATTTAAAGCCTAATATAATATAATAAGCCTAATTTATATTTGAATTTTTTTTGAAGAGGACAGGAAGATCGAGTGATTCAACTAAGTCAATTGGCAATTGTTGTTTCTTGCAGGGAGGAGGAAAACCTGTTATTAAAAGTGAAATTTAAATGCACTGGGAGCTCAATCACAATTCTGTCTTCAAATTATTAACTAATGAAAAGGACTCATCTTCATAATCAATGAATTCAAACAGAAATATGAGATGAAAGAAATTTTTTTATAATTAACCAACCTTTTCTATTTATGGAAAAAATTTCAAAAAATTGGAGAAAAATATTTTCAGTTAGTAAAAATTTAATTTTAGAAAAATAGGGATAAAATAAATAAATTGCCTTGTTGCTCAATCGCAAATCTTAGAAATTTCCACTAAAAATCGCTCTAATGCTCTTTGATTATAACTTTGCTGAGAGAAACAGTAGTTGGCAACTAAGAACCATAATGCACATCATGAAAACCGATAATCATGGCCATGGCCAGTAAGGTTTAGCTAAAAAAATATTGTTGGAATGTTTCAAATTCAGAAGTTTTTTAGCGTTTTTCACTAATTCTCGCTTTAAATGTTGATGTCTGATCTGAAAAATTGCTTTTTTATAGAAACTAGTTAACAGATGATAAAGATAAGACAATGACATTATCACTTTTTGAAGGGACAAATCTCAATAACATAAATAATAAGGTCAGCATATGACAATCTTTCTCTTTCCTTTTATATCGGACAAATTTTGCAGCAGTCACCTGGAGATAAAAATAGGACAATCGCCTGAATTACCTATAGTTTCTACTGCTGGGATTAAATCTCCAGCACTGTTGCTTCAAAATAAAAGCAATAACGCATTGTGCCATTCTACCTTCTAAAAATGATAGTAATCCTTGAATGACCTCATTTAACATGAATTTCAGTTAAAGGTCTAACCTTATGGATCGATCCAATATCCCCCCGACGCTCCCGATGAAACGGAGATCCATCGCTAATAATGAAAATTAATAATAGAATAACAAATGAACATCTAAAAATTAGTTTATCAATAATTGATTTATCGGTATCAGTATCCACAATATATTTATCAATATATCAGTAGTACAATTTATTTAATTTGATGATATAGTTAAATATTAAAAATTATTTTAGAGGAAATTATTCTCGTTCAAGCATTTTTAAAAATATTAAAAACATTAAAATCATAAATTATAAAAAAATACAACAAAATTATCGAAAATTTTAAAAATATTTGAAATTTATTTTGCAATGAAAAATAAAGCAAAATTTCCAAATTTTTTAATATTTATATCATTTTTTAAAATATTTTTTTTGAATTTATAAAAATTTACATTTTAAACAATTTAGCATTAAATAAATTAGAATTAAACAAAAAAATTAAATAAAATTACAATAAATTAAAATGAAACAAACATTCGAAAATTTGACATTAATAGCAATCGTTGCGAATATTTTTTATTTGTAATGTAAAAATGCTGCAAAAAAATTTGATAAAAAATTTTTTTAAAAAAAATATTCTCGAATTACACATTGGAAAATTAGATTAGATTAAACGATAGCAAAGCAATGAATTAAATTCAACCAGATTGGCTAAAGAATTATTAACCTGGAAAGAGATTCACTTCCGCTACAGGTGCTATGCGAAGAAATAACGCCGCACTAACGATAGCTTCTATTTTCTTCTAGGAGTGATCATCATTTTTGGTCGCATCTTTAGCTTGCCAAATCAAATTATGCCAGAGAATCATTTGACGACAGAAATATAGATGAATTGCCAGTATTATGTGCATTTCTCGACTATCGAACGGTAGTTTTGCAGGGAATAGTATTCGAGCTAAATAAAACCAGTAGCCCATTAAGTTATTCTATTCTTATAAGATTTTCGCATTTGCATGCCGCCATGTGTATAGCCTGTGATATGGAAACGATAAACGAGAAACGTTTTAGTGAACTACTCCCATATTTATATCCATTATGCATCTTTTTTGTAAAAAGATAAAAAAAATGATAAATGATAATTGTAAAAAATTTCACAAACTCATGCTAAAATTTTCGCTTAATGCAACAAATTTATTATAAATGTCGATTCTAAAAACATTTTGAATGCATATTTCATATTTCTTAACTTTTTATCTTTTATCAAAAAATAAGTCCCACTGACTAATATATTTCTGCCAGCGAATCACTTGGGGACAGCCGAACGAATGGGTCTTCGTATATGTGATATTAAATTTATGAGCTAAAATTTCATGTAGTTGCAAGTTTTCATGAAGTTTTGAAAGCTAAATGATTTAAAAGGTTTTTTATAATTAGTTTCATTAAATTCGCATAGAACTGGCATTTTTGAATTTTCTAAGAACGCTTGCCGTTTGCTAGCTTATCGTGCCGGATGAATTATGCTAAAGAGCCATTTGGCGCTGAAAGTACGGATCAGTGGTATGGATTGATCTCCTGCTGGTACTGCTAGCATCCAATGTTCTCAAATATTAGCACCAAAACTATTCAGCCATTCTATTTCAAGGAATTAATTAAACTAAATTGATTAATCGAAATGATACAAAATAGTCGAATTTGATATTTGATATGATATTTTTTTAATTTTAATTTAAAAAGTTTTAATATTTAAAGAGTAAGAAGGAACAAAATAAAAGGTTACGCCACCAAGGTTACATAAACGACAATCAGAGTGACAGCCATATACATATGCAATCAAATTTACAACAAAAAATGGCATATTTTGAACTGGAATAAGAAGACATTTGAACTAATCTGTAATTGATGACAACTGGTCAAAAATAAATAAAAATAAACTGCTAACATCAAACTTATTGTTGATGGATGCCAGGCAGTGGAGATTTCATCGTCCCCTATTACAGTAGCAAAGTTCCAATTGAAAATGAAAACCAGACATTAGATTAAAAAAGCCCCCATACTATCCCACCGCCAAGCTTCTATGGCATACGAAAAGCACTCGCTGGTCAAATGGAATTGGTCAAACCAGAGGTGATTAGAGGATTAATGATAACCGACATATTAATCGCCCCAATCCACTCCGAGATCATTTATCATTAACTAATATGAAACATAGGAATTTTTTTTTCTTTTTGATAAGAAATCTGATAAGAAATATGACAGACACATACAATCAAAATAATAGCGAATAATTTCCCGATTAAAATGTTTTGCAAAAAAAAAACTTAACATAATTTTGTAAAATTACAATATAAAACTACCAAATAGCGAAGGTCGAAGACGAATGAAAACGAGTTCTCCTCCTTGCCCCCTTACAAAATTACAAATTTTTTTTTATTTTTAACCACAATCAATTGCTTATATGATATTCTAAAGGTTAAAATAGATGTTTGCTGTCAACCAAAATTACCAATGCTCCATATTTCATTTAAAAAATAAAAATGAACTTGTCTCAATCTTTTAAAGAAATTTTACACTCAAAAAATTAATGATATGAAAAATTCATGCTTTATCAAATTCATGTGCCACTACTCCGAATGTTTTAATGAATTTTAAATTAGAACCTTTAATAAAAAATTTTTTTAAATCACCAATCGAACAAAAGAAACGGGACTTGCTTTATAAGAATATTGCATCGTGATTACAATTTTGACATGCTAAATTCAAATTATACATTATAAAATTACAAATAATTACAATTATATTAAACTATAAAATTTATTAAATTATATTACATATATTAAAATTATGTATATATAGATGAGGAATGTACAATAAAAATCCTTATCACATTTAAAATTGATGCAAAAAAAAGTTTACGTAAATTTAAATATAAATATAAGTTTAATGAAAAAACAGTGCAAAATCAATTCAAAGAAAAAGAAGAAAAAGAAAAAGAACTTAAACAAATTTTCTTATAATCCGTCCGCACCATAATCCAAGCGGCCAATATGAGCTGCCACCTAAAGCAAAAGTATTTAAAGTTTTTTAATAATTATACGGCATTTTTATCAGGAAATTTAGGATGGAAAGAGGACTATTACTATTCTATTACTATTATTATTTCGGAATGCTGCGGTTCAACTCTTAAATAGAAATTTATCCTTCAAATACTCTGGTGGTACTAATGACTTAAATATTATTCTATCGCCAAGTATTTCCCTGATAAAATTAGTCTGCTCCTGCAAAACAAAACATCGGAATAAGCAGAGCTCTTATGGTTCTGAGAAAAAATTTAAAATCATAACAATATAATAAAAGGAATAGATGAATGATGAAAAATGATAATGATGATAAATTAATATAAATTTGCAACGTTAAATTCCAACCTTTGTTTGTACATTTTCCAATTTAGGACATTCAGTAATACGATGACCAAGACCCGAACAATACGCACAACCTTTGTCCTGCTCCTCCGCCAAATTGTCTTGTCGTAATTCATTTCCATCTCCAGCAATATCACGCAAAAATAATGGCAATTCTTGACCAGCTTCCAGCAAAAGCGCCCGTAAATCTTGTAGCACTGATATATCTATAAGGTAGAAAATGAAAAAAAAAGAAAAAACATATTTGCATGAAAATATAAATATAGAAAATATTAAACAAATAATTAAAAATAAATTCATCGAAACCCTTTACCAATCGAGAATATTTTACCTGCTTTCCTATTGATAAATGTAGTTGCCATACCTTTTTTGCCAGATCGACCTGTTCTACCAATGCGATGAACTAAATATAAAAATTTTATCAAAAAAATTTTTCGATTAAGCGATTAAAATTTAGAGATAAATTCAATTACCGTAATTTTCGATATCCTCCGGCATATCGAAATTAATAACATGCTGAATATTTTCAAAATCCAAACCCTTCGATGCAACATCCGTTGCAACTAGCACATCCTTTTCACCACGTCGAAAAGCATCGACACCAGTATGACGATCTTTCTGATCTAAAAATGTTATTTCTTCAAATATAGTTTCTTCTAGCGATAAAAGAAATAATCTTTTGATGACTATTTGGGAAACATATAGAAGGAATTAAATTTAACCTTTGCCACCATGAAGAGAAGCAGCATCCACACCTTTTATTAGTAAATATTCGTAGATCGAATCCACATCACTTTTTTTTTCAGCAAATATTAACACTCTTCAAATGAAGTTTAAATGAAGTTATAAATGAAGTTCTCATAAGAGCAAAATAATTTTTGCATAAATTTCGCAAAAACAACATAATGCAAGTATACCTTGGCGGTGTTTTTTGCAAGCACTCAAGTATTTTCGTCAATTTTTCATCAGATCTGACATATTCAATTTCTTGAGTTACATTTAGTGAAGCTGCACCAGCACGTCCAACATTCACAATTATAGCTTTAACAAGTGCAGACCGAGCAAAATTCTGGATTTTTCGTGGCATAGTTGCAGAAAACAGTAGTGTTTGACGTTGCCCCTAAATAAAAGCATATCGTAATTGAATGTTTGATTTAGATAAAAATTAGGCTGATTTTCAAACAAAATATATAGAATAATATAACATAAAAAAATTATATAACTTTAATTACAACCTTAAAAAATGAAAATATCGTACGTAATTCGTCTTCAAAACCCATATCTAACATACGATCAGCTTCATCTAATACCAAGTAACGACAGACTTGCAAATTGAAGATTTTTTTATTTAAAAGATCTGATAAACGACCAGGAGTTGCCACACAAATATGGACGCCTCTGAATTTTTGACCATTGCAGATAATTTCCAAATTATTTGAATTATTCTATAGTTTTCATAATTATTTATTCAAACTATAAAACATCGAAATGAATTCTCACCTATTATTTACAAAAACATGGAAAATGAGATTTTAAACATAATTTAATGGAAATCGACAGCAAGAATGTATATATTTAATACCTTTCGAATACTCGAACTTGGTCTCCAATCGGTAAACCACCAATGGATAATCCAAGACGCAGGCGAGGAAATTTAGAAGACGCGATTGCTTCACAGATCTGGTCGATCACATCATAAATTTGCTTAGCCAATTCGCGCTAAAAATTTATCTGCGAAATTAAATGAAACGAGCCTAAAAACTTTCTTATCTGAGCATATCTCGAAGTTCTTACATTACGGAAATATTATAAGAATGAGGACATACTGATGGAACAATAATTAGACCATAAGGTCCTTCGCCATGGCGAAAAGGCAATGATACTTGCTGCTCCAAACAAAACATTATTAATGGCAAAGCGAAAGTTAATGTCTTTCCAGAACCAGTTGAAGCTATACCGATCATATCACGACCAGATAGACTCAAATAAACGATAATTAAATGTATCACACTTGAAAAAGTTAGAGGAAAATTTCTGCAATAAAAAATATTTCAAAGAGCTTATAAGATGAGAAATTACAAAACTTACACCACGGGGATACCTTGCATTTGAATGACGGTCGGACAGATTATTTTCTTTTCACGCAATGCCTGTATAATTGATGGAGGAAATTTCATTTCCTAAAAAAAAATACTCAACATCGAAATTAAGGAATGAAACAATTTAATGGAAAGCAGTAATGGAAAAGAACATACTATAAAACTTCCTATTGGCGGAGGAATATCTTCACCATCGACTACAATTCCTTTCTTTCTACGAGTCGTTACATGCTCTTCCTCCTTCATAGCTAATATATGGCGCGGCGGATGCCAACTGAAATTCACAATAATTAAATACCTATATTAACAATTTAAAAAATCATTTTATAGATGATAAAAAAAGGAAGGAATTTCGATAAGAATGCATGACCACTTTTTAATTAATAAAACAATTGAAAAAAAAAAAATGGAAAAATTCTCGTTTCGAAAGGTCATTAACTCGAAGATTTTTTGATATTCACACCTTGTTTTAATAGATTCTTCGTACTTGATGCCACGAGCTATCTCAGATACGGCCATAAGAGCTATAAAAAAATTTACTCAGTATACTATTGGCAAAAATTACTACTAGTGACAGAATCCTATTTGAAATTTCTCCTATATCGAAATGAATGAATGACAATTTTGGCAAATTAAACTGAAATCATAATCATATCGTCTTGTAATATCCTGTAAAATCTAGTTGAAATTTAAAAAATAACGAATAATAATACTAGCGAAATTAATGGAATAACCTGTCGCAGGAGCAACACTTTCTAGCAATTTTTCTTCTTCTTCACGTTTCCTTAGTTCTAAGTTAACATATTCGCCTGAAATGATATAAAATTATATCAGTGAAATAGAAAAATTAAAAAGGAAATTAACAGAAAAAAAGTGGAGATACCATTTATATTTTCAGTAAGCTCGTTATGCTTTTCCAGGAGAGATTTCTTAGCTTCTTCAGCCCTTCGTTCTTCTTCCTTCTTTTGGCGCTTTCGTTTAATAAAATCTTCATTTTCATCTTTAATTCCTTGTAAACCACCTCCTTCCACATGCAATATTTGCTTTAAAAGAGCATTTCGATGCATCTGTAGAAATTTTAAAATAAAATATTAAATGAGAAATTAATTTCCTTCAAAAAAAAGAAAAAAAGCAAAAATAAAGGAATAATTCAGGGCAATCGCAAGTCATCTGATAATAAACAAAAGAACATATCTCATATCGACTTAACCCACACTTTTATTCTATTTATAAAAAAAACCAAACTATTTAATCAAAAATTGCGGAACGCTTAAGATCAGATATAATCAAATATATCAGATATATTCAAAGACTTAAATAACATTCTTTTCGACTTTCTTCTCAAAATCTTTTATGGATTACAAAAAATTGAAAATTGAAAAATTGAAAAAAATTGAAACTGAAACTGAAGTCTCACTCTAACCTTTTCCTTACGTCGCAATCTGGCTGGAACAAAAACTTCACTGTCATCGTCATCGTCAGATAGAAAATATTCCTGCTTTTTCTTAGCTTCTTCCTCTTGGATTTGTCGTATTTTTGCCTAAAATTCCGATTAAAATAGTTTTATTATTTTATTTGGAATTAAAATAAAGATTCAATAAATTTACTTGATATTTTTGTAAAGCTGCAGAGACATCGACTTCATCCGCTTCATTGGTCGCCATATTTTCAGTACCAATACAATTTTTTTCATCCATTGTTTGCGTTATAGATTCATTGCTGTTAAATTATATCTATAATATCGAATCTATAATTAAAAATTCTTATGAAAGTGGCTTAATGTAATAGCGATTGTATACTTAAATGGAGATTCGACTAAGGTCAAATAGCATGGATTCCTAAATCCATAGCTTTTTTAGGAATCGGAAATTCCCTCTAAATTTTTCACCTCTTTTTTTATAATTTCACAGTTTTCTCCACTTTATTCCAATCGCCTTCCATCTTCATAAAGTTCTCTCTATTCTCTTCAATCTGGTGATACCATTTTATTCTAGCCAGTACATTTGCTTCTTGCTTAGGAACGGTCAGTACCACCACGCACCACCACGCACCATGCATCATGATTCAAACCGATGAAATCCAGTGGAGCGAAACCAGATGTTACTCGAGATCGAGCAGTATTTCCACACCAAAGTGATTCTCACCTTGACAAACAGTGCAGCAAATTTCACCAGTAAATACTGAGTGCCACAGAAAGGGAAAAACTTTTTTATTTCGATTTCATCCAGAAAAATCTCATTAGTTTTGTAAAATTATTTAGTAAATAAACTTAAAACAACCGTGCAAATGTCTTCAAATCCGAGCATATCTCTCAATTCCATTCCGAAATCCGTTAGAGTCCTTTAAGAATTTCCGATCTCCCTTCGCCACTTTCAAATCCACGAAATCCTCCTCCAATTTTTTTTACAAAATACAGTAAATTTTTAGAGGGTGGAAGACCGCGATTTTCCGGGTTTTTTTATGAAAAACAAGTTAAAAAAGTTGGAGGAATCAAATAACCGCAATTTCTGCAGGCAATAAAAAAAAATAAAGATTTTATAACAAATAATAAAAAAATTAATAATAATAAAAACGTTAATAATAATAACAAAAATAATAAAAATTTAATAATTACCAATAAAAATTTGTAAAAAATAATGTGATTCATAATATTAATTAATTTTAATAATTGCAGTCATTAATGCAAACACTAAGACACAAATCGGTTCGGTAGCTGTGTAATAGCACTTCTAATTGTCGATTGCAGATTCTAAATAGATTGAATTTCGTTGTTTGTAAAATTAGTAAAAAAAAATTTAATTACAATTTTTTATATATTTTAAATTTAAATTTGTTGGTGGGTAGGTGGGGGGATAAAAATTTGGGGAAACTTTTAATGTTCTTAATATTACAACAACGAAACGAAGAGTGTGAGGAGCGAAGAGCCGAACCAGAAATGTCCTCGGGAACGAGAAATGTATTTGGTGCATTTGGTTTCCTCTTATTGCGCGCATTCTTTTATTTAAACTTTATCTCTCCTTTGAAATTGCCTCTCTTTTGCTTGAAACAATCAAAGATTTTTTGTTTTTACTTAAAAAAAGCGATTTTATGGAAATTTATTAAAATTGATCTTGGTTTTTTCTTTTTTTGCAAGTAAATTTTTTCTTATTGTGCATTCCAAACTTTAATATTTTATTAATATTAATATGTATTAATATAGTATATATGTTTTATTTTTCCACAGTCTCCGAACGGAAATATCGAACGGATTATGTCGAAACGAGTTGGTTCAACATTTTTGTTTTTATATTACATTATATTAACGTGAAAAAGCCTATTTGGCCTAAACGGCTAAAGCCAAATTGGCCACCAGGACATATTTCGACGAGAAGAGAAACCTTATCTTATTTTCCACAATAATTTATCGTTCAATAAAATAGGTAGTATTGGAACATAGGTAATGTGTTTCAATAATCACTATCGCTTAATCACTATTGCATCGATTGTCAGTTATCAAAATTATCAAGCTATCGTGCTTCAGATTGTCATTCAGATTTCTTGCATATGTGCACTTATATTGATTTAATTTTAAATAAATAAATTAATTCGTTGGCTTTTTTTGACAGAAAAATTCTGTTTTAACTGGTTAATTTAACAAAGCAACAATTATTTATTTAACTTCCTTTTTTTCAACGTTGCACATTGATTCAGACTTTTTAGCTGAGTCCAGAGGAAGAACTCGAGAAACAGTATCGAGATTACAAAGCTCAATTCGAACAATGGAAGGAGAAGAATAAGTTTGAATTCCGTGTTTTAAAATTTTGTGCTTAAATATGTTATGAATTGATTAATAATTTATAGAATAATTTAGAACAATTGAAAGTTTTCATATTTAAATTTTTTCTTATTTATTTATTTCTCTTATTTTATTTTTTTATTTATTTTGTTTCATGATAGAAATTCTGTTGGAACTGAAGCTTATATTGCTTATGTGGAACAGTTTGAAGCATGGGAGAGGGATGTCGATAGACGACGAGAAATGATCCGTAGCAAAACAGAATCTGAAGCTAGTGAATCACAGGTAAGGACTGGAGTAATTTTTTTCGATCATAATTCACTTATTCATACGGTCTTTTCGTTCGCTTCCATTTCTATTTACGATAAACTTGTTTTTCTAAGAGTTCAACCCTTCTGGTTGGGTTTATTCCATTCTCCCTTTTAGTTTGGATTAAGTTTTACATATTTGGCCGGGAAATCGCTTGGCCACAGAACTACTGGTGAGTAGCCAACATCACCCTTGCAACATTACAAAAAAAATGTTTTATTTTTAATGCTCTGTTTTGAGATTGTATTATCGTCTTTTTCGTTGATTTTTCTTTAAAACTGTGCTTTATACCAATTTTATCTCATTCCTTCTATTCATTATTCAATGAAATAAAAAACCATATAATCACAGATTTTTTACTTTATTTTTATTTTTTACTTACCAGTCATTTCGATATTTCTATTTTAATAAATTGTAGGCTACTCAAGTTAAAACACAAACTAGTGGAGCCACGGAAGGAAAAAGAAAAAAGGAACAGGACTTAAAAGGGGAGCAACAAAGAAAACAACAACTTGAAGGTAAAATTTCTTTGACCTACCAACAATTTACCTATTTTATAATTTTTGCTATACATTACAAATAATAATCATTTTACTACGTTTATTTATTTTTTTATTTCTTCTTTTTATTTTCTATTCATAACTTAGAATCAAGTTGTGCTTATTACTTTTTCTTAATATTAGTGCAATAAAAGGTAATATTTAGTAGAATATATTTAGTATTCACAATAGATAAATAGAGATAAATCTTTATCAGAACCCAAATTATTTTTGATTTCTTATGATTTGAGTTTTTAACGTAGCAAAAAAAATCCATTATTCTTTGGTTTTTTGATTCTGTTTTGTGTTAAAGAAATATCTTTTCATAACGTTTATCATCGTATGGTTCAAACTTAGTTAATTAAAAGTTATTCAAAGTACCTCATTTCAATTAGAAAAAAGCCTCAAAGGAAATCCTATTAATATAGACATCTCAATCGGCACCTCAATAAAGCAATATGTATATTCAATTATATAAATAAAAGGAGAGGAATTTCGTAGTGGGAAAATCAGCCAGTGATCAATCTTGAGAATGAAATTTATTTATTTTTTATATTCATCTAAGATCAATCATTTTTAAGTTATAGTTTTTGCTTTGTTATTCGACTTATCTTTATTGTTGGATTTTTTTTTATAAAGAAGATTTCATTTAAAATATTTGAATATTTGAATTATTAAATATTTGAACAGAATTGGCTATCGAAAGAGAAGAATTAAGCCTCTAACTTCCGATGATTCGAAGAAATCATGTATATCTTGTTTAAATATAGGCGTTGAAGCATCAAAAATTGTATAACTGAAGGGAACCAACAGATCTCAAAGACTTTTCGCTAAACTTGAAAAAATATCAACTGTCATGACGAAATTCGAAATTTTATTCTTCTAGTATGTATATATATATATATTTGAATTATATTATTATTAATATTTCTATTCCATTTTCCTTCCGTAGCTGAAGCCGCAGCTCAAGCCGTTGCTTATGCGAAACATCAACAGTCATATCTAGCACACCATCAAGCAGCTCTGCAAAAAGAACATGAAATGAGGCAAGCAAGCGCAACTTCAGTAGTATCACAAGAATCAGTTAAAACATTGGATTCAAAGCCTCCGGGTATTATGTTTCATCTTTATAGAAATAAAAATTTCTTAAGATTTTTGCTGCCTGAAAAATTTAGAGAAGAAATTGATTCCATTGTTTATTTTTTAGAACCAATTGATGCGAATCAAGTGGCTGAAACTATGAAACAGATGGCACAACTTGCTCAAGTAATGATGAATGATCAGCATGATCAACATATGGATAGTGATGGTGCATTTTTTATTTATAATTTTCAGCAATGTTATTTCTACGGTATTATCAATCTGAATTGTATTTCTTAATGATATTTTCAGCTATTTACCAACACTCACTGTCGACGCATTCAGTAATCCAACCACAACATCCGGCGCCACCTCCTCAGCTATGGGGAAATGATCGTGCTATTTATGATTCGAACGATCCATTGTTTAAAAAATGGGGAATGCGAGCTGCTCCACCTTATCATAAGCCAGCATATCGTCCTCCTCCACCCGAATATCAAATTCCTCCTTGCTGGTTGTTTTTAGAACAGATGAAAGAAGAAAAATTGATAATCGCCCCACAAGTTAATTTGCCTCCTCCTATTCTACCAAAATTTGCTGTAAAGCAGTTGTAAATTGTAAAAATTAATTAATTATATTTATAGAATCACTTCGATTTGCAAAGGTACACTTTATCTTTCAGTATCATTTCAATTTTTTGGCTATTTTTATTATTATTTTAAAAAAAAGCTCATCTGACAGATAGCTAAATATTTCATTATAAAGTAAATGGACTTATAAAATTATCTTGAAACCTTTGCTTATTCCTTAATATCTCCTCAAAATTCGTTTTATTCCCTTAATTCCCCTGATATACTGTCCAAATAAGCCTTAATTTCTTATTTTCTTGAAAAATTTTCAACATCTCCTGTGTTTATTTTTCTTTTCATTATTTTATAACTAAGGTGGTTGTAATGGAACTATATTGCAAAGTTTATCGGAGCATTAAGGAAAGAAAAGAAGAAGAAAATGGTGTGGGTGATATTAAAGTGAAAGCCATTTGAGAGGGTTGGTCCAGAATTGTGGCAAGTGAATATGGCGCGATTATAAGGGTTTTAAAATGGTGTGATTTTATTCGGTTTAGGAAGGTTTTCAGTGGAATATTGTAGGCATTTAAAAATCTGTTCAGATTTCATGGCTTGCAGATCCAAATTTTTTTATAAATTTCTCTTGATGTTTTAAATATTCCAAGTATATTCCGAGAGTGCAGTTTTCGAACAATGAATATACGAACATATAAAGTTCGCGAATTGAATCCATGGTATAGTAATAAATTCATGAAACGAAATATTTATTATGTAAAAAATTGAATATAAAAGTTGCCATGTTGCTGCAAACGAAAAGAAGGAATGAATAAAATAGAACATGGAAAAATTTATGCAGTGATTACAAAGTTTGTCTAAATGATAAAGATAAGAAGGCTTAAGGCACAGTGAATTTTAATGGAACATTAGGGCGACCTAAATGATACTTGAGAAGTCAATGGTGTATTGATGTTGGTTTCTAATGAAGCCAATAGGCAGAGAAGGCAACATTTGGAAGCATGAATGTTGGGCGGTAGGAGATAGAGGAATTTCTATAAAGAAATAACCAAGTTTGGTGTATAACGGTGATTAATGGTGCAATTTATAAATATAAACGATATTTAAGGAAACTCATCAAATGTGCAAAAAAAACGTTTTAATTTGAGTTGTTACTTGCAATTATTTCCGATTTTTATAATTTTATTTCAGTTTTTGCAAAAAAATTGAATAAAAAAACTTTAAATATAAAAAAAAGAATTCAATAACGGTTCTAAAAAAAATATTTTTACAATCTATTTTTTTGCATACTTCAAATATTTAGAAAATTCATTCGAATCAAATTTTTTAAAAATTCATACAAATTCATAAAATTTTTTAAATTTTTTTCCATTTGTAATCAGTTATTTCGGTTGAAATTCTTAAATTTTTACTGCCTTCCATATCGAATATCAAATTTTTCTTTATTAAAAATTTCTCAAATCGTGAAAGTCTGCAAAATCTTCGAAAGTGCTTTTTTGAATTTTTATAAAAAATATCGCGATTTATCCACGTTTGCCGAAGGCTTCTCGTTTTTTCAATTATTTTTGTGCATAGCGATGAATCGAGGAAATTAATTATGAGAGGACGAGGAGGAGAAGGACGTTTTCGTCGTTGCTGCTTTTTTGATATTCGATAACCTGGAATAAATTCATTTTTAAATTTTTCACGCCTATAAATATTTATAACGCATTTTGTATTTATAAGAAAATAATCGCATAAATGTTGAACGAAAATTATATCGTCAATATTCGAATCGAATTCGGGTAAATTCAAAACGATCAATCGCGTTCGTTTGAGTAAATTTGCGCGTTTTTCGCGAGGATCATTTGCCCATTGGTCCGGCGAGGAGTGCCGAACGCATTCACCAATTTTTTTTCCGTAAAATTCCTCGATTTCACGAAAATTTTCGCCTGAAACGATAAATAATTAATTCAAAACTCAACTAAAGTTTTCCTTAAAAAAATTCATTTTAAATGTTTTTAAACTATGATTGTAATTTAATAAGGATTGTTGCTCACATTTCTGAGCACCGCCGAAATGTTGGGGTCGAATTCACGCTACCCGGACGATCGTGGCGGTTTATCTATACCGCTATCGTCAAACAACCCTCTGGCAAAAATCCGATATCCGATACGAGAAACCAGCGAAGTGGATTTAATCAGAAATGCTGAGCACTCTTAGAAAAGAGAAGCAATATTAAGATATTCACCTTCCGTAAAACCGACTAATCCTCCAGTAAATTTTCGATTTAGGCGTAAATATTTGTCGAAACGTAGCGAAAAGCCAGAAAAATTAGCTGTGCAAGAAAATTTAAAACATGTTTTAAAAACGTTCATCAGCAGATCGAACCTTCCTTCATATTCCTCGCCACAGTCGTTTATATCTTTGACCGACAGTTCCAAATTAATGGAATCAGATTGTTCGCCATGAAGGAAATTGTCACCAGAAGCGAGTGCATCAGCGCTATCGTCAACAACGCTCTCCATCACATTCCACAAGGCAAATTTTTTCAAATTCGATAGAGTAGTGAAGTGGAAAATATATTTGTAAAAAAATAAACATAAAAGTTTATTGGCTAATAAATAATCGTAGAGAAATAACGGTCGAATGCATAAAATTTTTTTTCGCGAATTTATTAGTTGTGATTGGTAATTGCTTTTCGATGGAATATCATCTTGAACATCGTAAATTTTATAATGGCAAAATTCCGAATCACATCGCTGTTTCGATTGGAACCAATTAAGTGAACAAGTCGGATAGCTCATAATATTGTAGAGTTCGACTTTAGTCGGCTCCAAGGCTGAAAGCGAGCATATTTTTCGCGCCACTTTGATTTCCTCTTGGCTCATTTCTCGCCAGTCCATTTCATCATTAATACTTCTCTCCGATATATTTTCGTCGATAAAAATTCTAAAGCCAAAATCTTGATTATAGTGATAATTTAATGCTTTACTAATAATATTACTGCGTTTAATAAATTTCTCTAAACGTGTTGCACAATCCAAATAGTGTTGAGCGGCAGTATTTGTGAAACGTGCAGGCTTTGGCGGAATGAAAGAATCGAAAAGTTCGTTTTGGAATAAACTGAAGAAATTATCCTCGTCAATATTTTGAACTGAGCGATTTGAAGGACTATTCGAAGCGATAAAGCGATTATTCTCACCCGTATCCTCGAAGGAATCTTTCTGAGCCATCATAAAGCGCATGTAAACTCTTCCAATGCGTTTTTTTCTAAATTCATGCAAAATTCATGAATTCATGCAAAAATTTATAAAAATCAAAAAATTTCCCAATTGACAATCCTTTAATGAAGAACATTGAATAGTTTTCTTTTTTCTTTGCTAAACTTTGTTACAAAATGGGCTCTATTTTCTCTTAGTTCCATTTCTCTAAGGCACAATATTTGTAATTTGCAAATAAATAATAAAAAAAACTACCCAAACATAGTGGCTTAGGCGTTTGCATAGAAGTTGGGTAATAGCCAAGGACCAGAACTCAAGGACTGTTAAGGATATAGAAGGGATGATAGTAAAAAAAAGAGAATTAAAGAGAATCATTAAAGAGAAATAATGGTATTCTAAACAAGTCTAGTGGGAATAGAAGGTAGGGTAGGTTGAATGATTTTGAGAAGTATTTTCACAATTCGAGAATTTCTGGAAGCCCATGAAAATTTTTCATTATGACCTCAAGAATGACCTCAAATTCCTATATAAAAACTATAGTTCAAGAATTTAAAAATAAGAGGAGTAGAATAGCTGAGAGAATTCAGATTATTGAGATTTGAGACGGTTTATATTTTATCTTTGGCAACATTGAGCCAACTGACATTGAGTCTGTACAGTTAACAACTCAATTTAACCGACGAAATATACCTGTATTTCAGCAATCAAGTGATTCCCTGGCAAAAATTTCTCAGCAAACACTGTAGTTAAAAACCAGCGGAACCAGTCTAACGGCAAATGCTGATCATTTAATTATAAAAATATAGTGGTATGGAAGGTGCTAAAAAATTTTTTTTAAATTTCTATTAAAAGGTAATACCCAAGTAAAGAAAAGCCCTTACAAGGTAATACACCTCTAAAATATCTCTTAGGCTCAGTGGATTGTTGGAGGCGTTGGAAATCGAAGCGTTGACGTTGAAGACCTATTCCCAGCAAAATTAAACATTAACTCTACCCAAAAATCTGATTGACACCGGCGACTCAACAGTTCAAACATAAGAACCAATCTAAGAAATAACCAAAAATTATAAGATCTAAAGAGCTTTATTGAAAGCCAACAATGACTGTAAAAGGCTGAAATATTGAAAATATTTAAATTGAAATATCGAAGCGTTTAGATTAAATTTATTTGTATTCATATTTGTATTTGAATTGATATGTTAAGGTGGAATTTAACCGACGAAATATACCGATGCTAGAATATAAATACGTTTCAACTTGCATAAATTTAGCATGAGACACATAAATTATTTACTAGAAGAGTTCCATTGTGGCGTAAGCGCTTAATTGCTTGAATGTTACATACACATATGCAAGAAATTATCTTAAAAAAATTAGCCCCAAAAAACTTACTTAGGTTCTTTTTATCGCCTTCCACTCTCAAAATAGGCCTCCATTTTCTTAAAAGAGGTTAGAAACTATTAGATAACTAATAGTTAAAGCGAGAGTCTCAGAAATATCGCAAATATACAATCATTGCTTTATATAAACTAATGAAATATTTTCTCCTACGAATGGGCAATTGTCTTCAAACTTTGATTTTAATAATTTTCCTCGATGCTCTTTTTTAGAGTCCTCGCCATTACTGGTTAAACTCGCTCCACTGGCTTGTCGCACTGGGCAATATGCCAAGGAGTCCCTTGGCATGTTGGAAATACAAGTGAGTCGCCAGCATCAACCGGAGGCTACTTACATTGTACTAAAGTCCTTTGGCCCAAAAGTATTTTTCAAGCTTAAAACTCATGCATTTCTACCATTTCAGCATTTCATATTTCTATACTTCTTTATGGTTCTACTTTTTGCAAAAGCATATTAACTGAAAAATGGATAGAAAAATGGTAATAAATAGAAAGAAGTGTTTAAAATGATTTACCAATTAATAGTAATCAATAATTAATATGGACGGAATCATAAGGAATATTAGCCAAGATATGAAAATAGGATTTCGGTGAAAAAAAGTTTTAATGACAGCTTTCGGAAGGTGGTAGAAAAGTGGACCGAGATTTCAGAAAGGCATTTTCAAGTGGATTATAAGTTAAAGACTTAATTATATGTGCTATTTTTTGCACGTAGCATTAATACATTAATATATTTTGCAGGTAGCATTATAGAGTTAGAGAAAATTCTATTATACGCTATTAAAGAAGGCACGTAGTGCGTTTTGATCGAATGTTGTGGAGGACTGAGAAGGATTTAGAAACATTGATAACGGCTGCCCATGAAAATTCGCTAACTAAGAGAGCTCCTTAAAAAGTATGATTATGTAAGGAATTTTGCATCTGCTCAAAAGGAATTCAACAATGTCTCAATAATCCATTTGAAAATAATCCATAATCCATTTAACCATCATTGGTGACCGATGACTAAAAGAACAGAACTAAATCTGAGCTATGATGGATGCCACTGAGATATGGCACACACTACTGAAAATAATAAGAATAACATAATAATAACATAAAGAATAACATTCGAAAGGTTTTGAAAAGAATTTACGAGAATATAATTTTTTAACGTGGAGACACTTTCCAGGGAGAAATCACCGGATTTATGGAACAAAAGGTACCAATAAGCAGGAATTGTGAAAAATTTTAGGAAAGTTTGGCTGTTAGCGTTTTACACAAATATAAATAAACCACAAATTTCACAAATAAACCAACAAATTTTCATACAGATTATCGTTAAAAATATTAACGTTAATTAAGGAATCTACCATAAAACATCAAAAATGAGAATAGCTTATGAATATGAAAATGTACGGTATTTTTTCTCAATTCGTGGCCGCACTTTAATAAGCGCCATTTTGTATTTTTGACTATAGCGATTTGACCGATGTTTTCCCGTGTTTTCCTGTTTAAGGCTTAAATAAAGAGATTAATAGTTTCTTCCATTGCAGTTATTATCGTCGTTCACCAATAAAATATTGTAATATTTGCAAAATATACTTTTATTCTTTATGAGAATAAATTTTACAATTTTTCGCTCACCAATTTTTTAAGTTTATTTCGAAGGATAAAGTTACGAATTTTATTTTATTAAAGCTACGGATTTTTTTATTTCCATGAGCTGTAGGATTTCTCTGGTGATTTAAATTCGTATACGGTGAAACTAATAATTTTAGGCTTCTTAAATAGCATAAATTATATTCATAGAATGATTAAGGTACAATAGAGGACTTCAAAGATGATTTCAGATTTAAGAAAATCATTTTTCGAATAAAAACTAACTAACGAAATAATAAGAAAACAAATGTGCGAATGCAATATAAGAACCCGGTAACTTTTAAAAATATATATAATATTTAAAAATTGAAAAAATATAAAAAATGGATTTTGATAGAGACAACTTTGCTATAGCAATCATTGAAATCTAGCAAACATGAATAGCACTTATTAGCTAAACGAAACTTGTATCGATGTTGATGAGGTAATAAGAGCAATAATAATTTACAAATAATAATAAAAATACAATAATAATATTGTAAAATAATAGTAAACAATAATGAAATATTCGAACGATGTTTCCAATAATAATAATGATAATAAAAGTGATAATTATTTAGCAGCTTCTTTAGTACAAATCTCTCCATATCTCTCCATATGGCAGTGAACAGCGAATTTACTCTTCTGATTCTAATCTGAAAATATTGCTATTTGAAGGATAAAAAACTGGAAATATAAAATTAATACAAAATCAGTTGTTATTTATTAAGGGAAGATTTGGTAACGCCGCAACAAGGATGAATAATGATAAGATTGATTTAAGGATTTGGTCAATCAAATTCTTAGGGAAGTGTAGAAACGTAGAAATTTATGGAAACAGCTGTCCCTGAAGCAAAAATTTTATGCTTATAAGCCATTGAGCTATAATATTCATATAAATTAAATATTTATATAAATTTATTTTTATTACTAATATTGATAATTTATTCATTGTCGCTTTTGTAACTATTGATTTACCGTCTGATTTATCATTTTTTTGGTCTAAGGTTGCTTTTATTTTGCTCTTTTTCTGAGTTTCGGATGCTTTTTTTTGGTCCAAGAGCATCCATAATTTTATCTTTTATCTTTACACGAAAAGAACATGAGATTATGATATTCAATATCATAAAAAAATCTTCACCCACTTGAGCTCAATTGTTGTCAACCCTAATATTAATAATATTTCTTTGCCTTATGATATATTATAAAATCTGAAGAAAAGTTAAATAATGCTAAAAATTTTTTCACATATTTTTATTATAAGTAATATATATTATCAAAATATAAAATAATGTATAATATGAAATATTAATATATATTGTTATAAATACTACAGAAGATATGGGAAGTAAATACCAAAGTAATTCCAGTCATAACTGAAGCCCTTAGAATTCCTATATTAGAAAAGTGATTTCAGCAGATACCACAAACAACATCAAAGATCGATCTCTGTCCGGAATAGCGCATAAACACCTAAGATATTGCACATAATCTTCAATATCTTCCTCTGGTGACGAACTCGAGGTAGATAATCTTTGTCACACCGGAGGGGTAAGAGCAAGGCTTTTTTTTTTTAATAAATATGTTATTAAAGGATTTTAAATAAAAATTGACATACAATTTTTTCTCGTTCTTGTTTTTTCGAAATTCACATATAATTATTGTCAATAAAAGTAAGATAATAATGATAATAATTATTAACGCAGGCCATAGCCATGCTAAAGGACCTGAAGAATTATTCCTATAATTAATTTTTTTTCACAAATTTCATAAAAATTATTTTATAAAAGGAATTTCGACAATTTTCATTTCATTCGAATAATACATATCTCATAAAAATTAGAAAAAAACGAAATTTTTTCCAAAGAATTTCAAAAATAATTTAAAAAGTTGCAATTTTTCATTATTTTTTATTTAAAAAAAGTTTTTTTTGACAAATTTTATTTATAATTCTGTGATTATTTGTTCGTGTATAAGCTCAAACAACTGAACGTTATCACTCATAAACTAAAAAAAAATTACTAAATTTTTCCTATAAGGAAATTCCAAGAAATGGAGGATTTTTTTGGAAATACTAAATTGTAAACGATTTTTGCAAACAAAAAAAATGGAAATGTAGGTGGAAATACTGAAAATATTTTTGTAAAATAAGTGAATATTGTTATCGAAAAAAAAAAATCATTTGTATGATAAATATGATAAAAAGTATAATAAAAATGATAAATATGATAAAAGTATAAAAGTATAATAAAATTAAAAAGTGCAAAATGAAAAAATCTATAGAAATTATTGAGAAATTTACTTCATATGTTATCATTACTACTCGCAATTTCAAAAAATATTTGTGGCACCAAAATAGGAAAAATATACTTGAATTTGGATCCTTTAGAAATTCCTATCCTAATATATTGAACTTATATTTTATACGTTTTCTTTTATCATTTCTGGTTAGACTCGCTGCGTTTATTTAGTCGGGCTGGACTGAATTCATTTAGGAGAATTCTTAATGAGTCGCCAATGTCACTCGAACTGAGGATCGCAATAAAAATTTATTACTTCCGCTGAGAATAGAACTCTCTTACAGGCGCTCCGAAATGAGAGCAACAATCCACTGAGCTATTCTATCCTTAGCTATATTGTATTTGCGATATTTTAATTAAATTTGAAGAAATTTCAAGTATTTTGTAAATTTATATTTTATTCAAAAGATATCCGCAATGAATACTTTTTACTCTTAGACGTTTCATAATAATTAATCGATGTTCTTCTAGGCCACCATTATTTATAAATCTATTTTTTGCGGTGCATTCATATTTACCAAAATCTTCGTATATAATTTTATTAATTGTAATTGTATCATCCGCGACCATTTTTATACGATCGTCCCAAAAAACTAAAACAATATTTTAAATCAGTGGCGCTGGTGGAAAAATAAGTAGAATAGATAAAACAAGGCAAATAACTGACTTAGCTCTCTGTCATCCTTCTTCCAACTATACACTGCAGCTGGAAATGCAACAACTGGACAAGAAATATTTATACTGCTTCCTTGCACTGCAACAATTTCTGGCCCATTTAGTCGAAATGGATCGTCATCAATCAATTCATAATGATTTGTTTCGTCAATCACAACGATAGGTCGAACTGGAAACGAAACATTTTTTGAAGTTTTATTGCATTTTTTCCCAAAAAAATGACGAAAAAACAAATTCCTTATGGAATGAAAAATTGAACTTAAGGAAAAAAACATACAGGAAAGTCGCAAAATTTGCATATGAATTTAAAATAAATAATTTTAAAAATATATTTAAAATATCAAAACAAAAAAATTAAAAATAAAAATGGAAATAAAAATAAAAATCTACTAAAATTACTAAAAAGTATTAAAAATAGTAAAAAGTGAAAAGAATTAAAAATTTAAGTAACAAATATTTAAAAAAATCTATTACTGCTTAATCAAACATAATTTTCATTGGAAATTATCAGATAAGTCGCATAATTATTGAAAAAAATCATGGAAATTAAGAAATTCAGTGATAAAAAAACGTACCAAAAACTTGATGATTACCGGTGACAGATAACTTATTTGTCGTATTAATTTTACATGTATAATTACCAGCATCTTCAACAGTTGCTAAGCCAAAATTATGGAAAGCTTTTTTACCGTCTTCACTTATAGTTGCTTCTAAAAGCACACCGTCTCGCTTTCTCAAAAAGGCTGCTGAGCTTATGGTCAATGGACTACCATGATCTTCCGCCTGAAACTTTTAATTTTCACCAGTTTTCATTGATATGCAATTTACAAAAATATTTGATATTTTAAAATAATCATAATTAAAAGTAAGATTGGACTTGGCCACTTTTTTTAGCTTTGCTTGTTAGGCTTGGTCTATTGACATCTATAAAAAAATAGTTAAAATAGATTCCGCTTTTTTTCACTGTCCAGGCCAGACCTACATGTCACTGGATCAGCCATATTCAAAATTTTCCTTGATTATCAGTCCAGACATTGGTTATTTCTCACTTTTCAAACTTTTTATCATTAATTCCTGTGATGGACATAAACAGCGTAAAATAATACTAATACTGATTTAGTGAATTTAAACTATTATAGAATTATTAATTTTTTTTGTAAAATGATTTTTTTCATATAATATTGGTTTCTATAATATAGGCATAAAATATTAATATTTTACTCATTAGCTTTGGTTCAATTTTTTATCACTTCTTTTTCTAACTCACCATTACTGATTAGGCTGACTCCGCTGACTACAGGACTCCAAGCTGCTCGGTCTGACGCCATCGCTAATAGTAATAGAAGCCATTCCTTTTTACATAATCTAAGTCCATATATAGCTGGTCCCCCTATACGTTCAAAATCTTTGCTGACTGTATCAGTGATTGGACCTCCTCGTTTTTGACCCCAACCATCATAGAATTCGGCAAATAGCGACATGTGCGATATCATCCGCTCGATGGATCTGCAAGATGCATCTCAGACATAAGTGGCCAAAGTCTGATAGCTTCTTGATTCTTCATTCTCATTGGCTATGTTTCGCAGCCATATAGCAAGATCGAACGAACTGCAGCTATATGGACGCGGATTTTCGGCTTCTCGACGACTCCACACCGAAAAAACTCATTTTTAGGTGTCGTCATCCGGGTTACAATTTCATCCTTAGCCTAGCCATTTGGGATTAGAGTGGATCTAAAATATTTAAAGTCAGGCACTTTCTCAACTGGCAATGATTTGATAAAAATAGGTATTTTATCAGTATTTTTTAGATATGTCGAAAACACTTCGTTTTATTTACATTGATTTTGAGTCCAGTTCTCATTGCAGTTGTTGACATATTATTTATGTTTAACATTATTTACATTTCATTATAACTATCAGCAAAAAGGACTATATCACCTGCGTATTCAAGGACTGCGATGCTCTGGACTGATTTGCACATCTCCTGAGTGCCGAAAAGCAATGCCCATTATCTACCGCATAGTTGAATATGGGGAAGGGACGCATCCTTGACGGATAGCAATTCTTATTTCGAAAGGGCCAGTCAATTCCTTATATACACAGATATATGTGCCAGAGTATGCTGATAAAATGCCTTTATGAGCCGAATGATCGTCTCTCGATACCGTAACATTCCATCACTTTCCAGAGTGTGCTCTATTAAATCAAATCGAAGGCAAGTGCAAAATCGAAAGAAGTAAGTAACGGTGTTGCTAATATTTGAAACAATGTTCGAGCATACTTCTTAGCGTAATATCTGGTCAACAAAACCGCATCCCAGCTTGGTTAGGATGCATTCTGCAATTTCGTGTTGCAATGAATCTATTTAGCAGAGGCGAAGCGAAAATTTTTCCGGAAATGTCCAGTAGGCTGATTCCTCGGCAATCGTCGCAGTATGTCCTATCACATTTCTTAGAAATGGGAAGCACAGTTGCTTTGCTCCAATCCTCTGGTATTTTTTTTTGGCCATACCAGAGAATACATTTGTTGAAGGTGAGTTATGAATGATGATGGACAACATTTGAAAAGTTCGGTCCCAAGATCATCTTTTCCGGGAGTTTTATTAGCCTTAAGCTTATGGATTACAGAGAGTATTTCCTCTTCTGTTAGTGGCTCAAACATAAGGCTCGAAGGACAAATCAATTATATTCGGGATGGTGCATCATAGTCAAGTTTGGCCTCAAAAAATTCTTTCCATTTTCTGAGGCGATCTTTAACAGACTTTAATAGGCACCCCATCTCCATTCTCAAGGCTATATCGCTCCAATAGCGATTTCTGTCACGCCGTGCTGCTTTCGTTGCAAATCTTCGAAGCACCCAGGTAGGATAACCTGGCAATCGTACTTTGGCAGTTTTTTGAGACAGTTGGACAGTTGCTTCCGATACCAAACTAGCACACTTTCTACTAATATGCCCTAATGCTGTCTTTTGTAGACATATATTTAGTTGGGACCAGTATTGACATTCATTCGCCGTTCCAGAGATGTCATTGACATTCATTTCATTGAGGTGTTTTAATAAAGCGGTTTGAAATGCGCTTATCGTTCCCGGATCTTTTAATTTGTGATAGTTGAAAGATCTTAGGATACATTGTTTCTTACGACTTGTCAGTTTTGTAAGAATTTTGGCTCGGATCATAAGTGATCCATGATTACCAGTTTCAGTGAACCAGAACGACTATCAAGTACAGAACTCTTCCAGTGAAGATTGATTAATATAGTCAATTTGATTGGAATATTGGTTGTCCGGAGAGTTCCACGTGACTTTTCTCATATGCCGAAAGTAGTATTAGTAACAAAGAATTCATACTCTTCAGCAAACGAAGAAGGCGTTCTCCATTGACGCATTAGGCCGATGCCATATTTGCCAATCACCGAGTTCATCGAAATGGCATCATGACCTACGCGCGCATTCCAGTCTCTTCCGAATATGACCATGACATCTCTCGGTAGGGATGTTGTTAACAGTTGAAATTCCGTATAGAACTTATCCTTATCGCAGTTATCTGCGTATAAAGTTGGAGCATATACACTGATGACCGATATATTGCAGAACTTCCCTTTGCGCTATGTCATTTCGCCCCGAGTCATCCGAGGCACAACAATAATATAGCCAATATCTTTGCTTGAAAGTAGATTTGATAATTAATTATTCGAGAGCCGACGTAAGAAAGGCGCACCTTCCACAAACATATAGTCACATCGACGTGTTTTTTAGAAAGGATATGGACAGTGATCGCTTGCAACATGCATAAGAGTTCTGATGTCCAAACATTTATAGCCAGCACCTCACCGCGCTTATAAAGTGTAGCGGATAGGTTCTCCTCTCCTTTGACGAAATTTGAATAATATATTATTTCGATTCGCGAGTATATTCTATGCTCACGCCTTGGAATTAATTTGTTATTATTATTACGTCCTGATCGCATATTTATCGCATGTACAGCCTGATAAGAAGTACCATGCGAGTTGGAAGACGTGAACATCGCGTCAAAGAGATTTGACTCTTTCACTTGGAGATAGTGATACAGGTGGATCCCCAGCAACCAACCGGATTTTCGATATCATAATAGGTTTACTCCTGTTAAAGACAAAAAAAGTAAAGACAATTTTTAAATATATATATTTATAATTTATATAATTTAATTTTTAAACTGATTTAATTTATGATTTTAACTGCTCTTTGAAAAAAAATTAAAAGGATTAATTAAAAAAATTAAAATTAAAAGGAAAGGAATTAAATTAAGAGGACTTAAGAGGATTAAAGTTTAAGAGGACTTAGCTGAATTTTTATCAGTGATAAAAATTAATTCTCAGAATAAATCGAGAATATTTTTTAAAACAATCACTCGCTAACAAAATTCTCAATTTGTGTATATTTTTTTATCAATATATTTAGATAATAATTTTTAACTCAATATAACTTTTTTGAAGTGATAATCATATTGATAGCGCTTTTTTCTCTCCGCATAAAAATGCATATAATTTTTCCTTTACTCAATAATTCTGGTTGGTTCCAATGATTGCGAAGGAGAAATTTCGCTAGAGAATTACTTAGAGATAAAATTAGGCTCCCATTACTAGCGTATACAAATCTATTTAAAGGCGTTCTTATAGATATAAGTGCAGACGGATTCCTAGCACCATCTCAAATGAACTTATAAAATATAGATTTAGATATATAAGATTATAGGATTAAATATATATATATATATAAAACTGTTAAATAGTTTATAACCACAAAAAAAGTTCATACAAATTATTACAAATTATTTGAGTTTAAATGACGCTTTGCAATATGTATGCAATAAATAGTATAAAATTTTTCGAATAAATTACCATTATATTAAATTCAATTTACATAAATATCGAACATATATGAATTATTTAAAAAAAAAGTGAATAGAAGAATAGAGCAACCTGACACCAAAGAGTGATATTTTTCGTCGAATGAAGAGGATGTTTCTTGAACGACCGAGCCGTTTTAACATTTATAACTGCATATGGATTTCCTTTTGCTTGAACACTTTCAACGACGAGAATATATGCAATATTTAATAATATTATGGAAAATGCTAATCGGGCGAAATTTATTCTTCCCATGAAATATTCCTGGAAAAATACTAAAAATGAATGCGCAAAACTTTCTTTAATTAAACACAATACACAATATCGTAATTATCGTAAGACAATTATTTAAATATTGCATTAATAAATTACTATTTTCCTCCACGAATAATGAAAACAAATCTTTCTGAATAAATTTATTGCCCACATAGATCGTTGAAGTAAAATTATTGTCTATATCAAGTCACCAGAAAAAAATCAGCTAAATAGATCATTGTAAAGTCAAAGACATTCTGGTGATCTGTGTAGATCACCAGAATGAAAGCTACTGATCTACATAGATCACCAGAAAAAAATCATGTTTCACTGCTATTGAGTTACTGTCGATATAAATCGATTGCTGATTTTTCATAACAAAATATTTTCATTCGATATCGAATCGCAATTTGTAAAGCATTAGTAAACGAGTTATTTACGCGGACTAAGGTTTAGGTGAAGCGGAAACAATTTGTTCAATTGCAAGAAAGTAAGGAAGTCAAGAAAGTTAGAAATTTTCCGCAGTATTTATTAATGCAAAAGGCTCGATTTTTAATTCTTTAAACCAAACTATGCTTATTAAATGTCAATGATAAAATTAAAATATTGCAATAAAAGAGAATTTTAAATTAGTTGAATTCGAGCCATTCACAATGAAACGCAAATTGTTAAAAGTGTTGATGTGAAACCTGTCGATTAGCAAAAAAAAATTATTGGCAGTAAGGAAAAAATAGAATATCGATAGTAATAATGTATAAATTTTAGTAAATTTATAATAATAATAATTAAATAATTAACAAATTATGCATATTTTTATATTATGTTATTTATAATATAAAAATATTTATAATAATTTGCAAGAATATGTAAAAGAAAGTTCGCAAACGAAGAAAAAGCACCAAAACAATTGAGGTACCGCTAAATCGAAGAGAATTTCAAAATACCCGAACTGATATATCGGTCGATTTTCAAGATTTTCATTTTGATGGGAAATCGATTGAAATATGAGAATTAAAAAATAAGCGATTTTTTCGGCGATGTGAATTGCCTCAGGGTATCGTCAAATTTACGTAAATATCGAACTTATGTGATCGGTACTAAATGAAAGGAAGTGACAGGACTGCTAATTATTGGAAAACTGGTAAAATAGGAATGGTTATTGCACTTTAATTCATGGTACTTCTTGTCCAAGCTGGGAGGGGTAATAAAATCCTTTTATATATGGTGTGTTAAATCTAGTCAATTATTCTTGATTATTTTATTTTGAAGCATTCCTGAGAAATCGCATTCGCGTTGAAAAATCATTTTCTAGATTTTTCAGTGATTTATTAAGTACATACCAGAATTCTTCAGAATTTTTGAATTGTTTATCTGAGCGAGAATTAACAAAATCGAGTTTGTTTGACAAAGAGCTGAGGAAGAGTCCTTCGTGAATGTGAATGCGGAATTTAAAAAAAAAGGATTTCCTATATATATTTTTGGAACTTGGAAATATTGTTCTTCTCGAAGCCAAAAAATATTTTTTGCTATATAATGTTGAAAAAATCAAAGATTCCACCATACGCACTCGTTCAGCTATAAATCATTCACAGTTTGTTGGCCTGGTGAAATGAACTGTGTGAAAGCAATCCATCTTTTCATCCTCCTCATATTTAAATTTAAATTTGTTAAGTGAGGGTTTACCTGACTGAAACATTAGTTTTACCAATCGACCTAAAACTAAGTTAGAGCACCAGAGTAAAAAATCCGGATGGTCTAGTGATCTAACGACCCTTCTATGAAACCATTTCCATGTGACTCCCTAATAAATATTTTTTAACCGTATAGACAGCCAATGCAGTTAGCATAATCATTTATCAACGACTAACACTGATCTTTTTACAATTGTGCATATTAGACTGCTCGCGAGTGCCATATGTTTAAGCTCTACTCGTGCATAAGATGATGCATATTTAAGATTTCGTTACAGCTTACATATTTATGCTGGGTTATATATATATATATATTTATATTAATGGTATTATAATATATCGATAAATATGTAAATATATATTATATTTTATTATATTTATTTATATTATATTTTATTATATTTATATTATATTTTATCATTATAAATATATATTTATCAATATATATTTAATGTTAATACTATTACTATATATTAAATATTTATATAAATAAAATTACCAGTAATAAACTATAAACTATTAGTGATAAGCGGAAGGAAAATACTAGAATCAGCTTAAAATACGCTTAAACTGATAAAAAAAAAAGCTATTTCATATTGTATGATTTGTCTAGCATTCAGTAGAAAAAGCAAAACGGAAGAAATAGAAATGAACAGAAAAGAATAAAAACAGGAGAATTCCCTCGAGAAATAAGAACTCAGAGTTTTTTCAAAGCTATTATTCAGTAAGAATTTATGAAATCCGAACAGTTTTCTTCTTTGCCGAATTGTTTTTTTGAATTGTTCTGATAGAAATAAATCAGAGCAAAAAAAAAGTATGGAATGGATAAAAAATGGAATGAACCAATACAACAATCAACCATGCATAAGGGGAAACGAATAAAATAAGGTGCAATGGGTCTGCTCAATGCTTGAAATCTTAGCGATAATAGTAAATTTTTTTAGGACTTCTTTTGCCCATTATCCATCCAATAATTCATATGACATTTGACATCATTGGTCCTCATTTTTTTTCTTTTTTTCTTTTTTTTTCTCGGAATATATAGAAGATAAAAAAAGAATAGAGAAAAAAATTTAAATCGAAAGAAAAAAAATAGAGAAATTTTTCTTATTTTTTTTATAACAATTTTATATTTTATTATATTTATATTATATTTTATTATATTATATTTTTATATTTTGTATTATATTTTTTTAATTTTTTAAAAATAAACAAGAATAAAACAAATAATTACAACGAAATAATTTGGCATTTGTTCATCTCAATTTAAAAAATCTGTTTTATCCAACTGTTTTATTTATAAATTTCTCATCTCATAAATCTTCTTCATCAATGCAATCCTCGATAATCCTCGATAGTACTACTTATTATACATTGCATTTAACTTATTCATGTAAATATAACTTCTAATAATCATATCTCATTTTTTCGATAATCTTCCCTTATAAATACTAAAAGCGTTTTAATAAGAACGAGTATGAATGAATGAATGAATGGGCGAACGAACGGAATCAATGGTTGTATGTATGAATAAATGAATGGATTGGATGGGATAAATTTAAAGCTTTAAAAACGATAAGTTGTTCGATATAAGAATAAAGAAAAACGCTGAAAATTCCCTAATAGCAAAAAAATTTACGAATTAGCTGATTAATGCAATCGATAAAAAAGATAATTTATATAAAATTTCTTAAATTATTTATCAAAATTTAGCCTACGGTTGATCGAAGCTAAAATTGCGAATGACCGAAAGCCATTCCATTCGTATTTCATTTTCAATCACAAATTTATCCTTGTCATATAAGTAAAGAATCGAAGCAATGCGCTAAGATTGTCGAAAGACTGCAACGTCCATTCGGATTTCATCTTTAATGACAAGTTTAGGTTTAATCGAAGCAGTTACTCGTCAACTTGTCAACTGAAGAGGCATCAGAAGGACAAATCAACAAACTCCTATCTTATCCATCTGAAGTAGAAAATTAGAAAAGTTCTCATCTCACGAGAATACTATCAGATAAAAAAGATGAATATTGTATTTTTGCCAATCAATGTCATAGTAAATTACTAAATTTACAATTTATTTTACGAACAGACGTTCGATAAATTTTCTCATTGAACTTTATTAATTTTACTTAATGCGAATAAATAAATTTAAAATCTCTTAAAAATTTTGAATATTAAACTAAATTTTATCGAATCTATTATATTTCATGGTTTCGATAGGAAATGATATTAATCAACACCATTGGTAAACTTAATAATTCAATATTATAAAAAATTAAAATATTAAAATGTAATAAATTAAAATATTGGAAATGAAAATAAATATTTTTTAGTTGAAAAAAAATTAAAAATTTAAAAAAAAACTTTTTTCCAAAAAAATAAATTTTATCGAATTTTCTTTCCTAAATTTTTAGTTCGATTATAAATTTAGCATTTAATAATTTTTTTGGTTGTTAGATGCATAATTTTTTCTATATTTCTCTGGGAAAAAAATTTGATAAAAATAATAAACAAATGAAAGGATTAAGAAAAAAAATCTATAAATATGGTCATCGTTATAAATAATGTTATAAACCATAGCAAATAAACTCTCAACTGGATTACTTCACTAATTTTGTTATTGATTTGCTAAATTTTTTAAGAATAATATAGAAAAATCTTAGAAAAACTTAAATAAAATTAATAAATGAATAGCAAAGTTCATAATTTTGCGATTATAAAAAGTGAAAATTGAAAATTTTAAAAAAAAATTGAAAAAAAAATTGCAACATCGAAACCGAAAAATAAAATTTATTTACCTTATTTTATTAAAATTCGTAAAAATTATTTGCAATATTAGAGAATTTATTCAAATAAAAAGAGAAAATCTTTGGATTTTTATACGGATTTATGAGTCCTTGAAATTTTCATATGAAATTTTCTCGCTTAAAAAAATTATCGCTCAACAATAACTTCAATTTCATAAGTAATATGATCGAATTTATGTTGCCATTTCTAGCAATGCGCTTAGCTTTGCCGTTTCTGAGTCAACGAAATTCCTGGGTGCTATTGCAATATTTCTTAGCTATAAATGAATTCCTAGCGAAGGCGTCTCATTCAAATAACAGCTGATAGAAAAAAAAGAACTATTTTGCAGATGCCTTAGTGCTAACCAATAATTGTTTTAAATGAAACTAAATATAAAAAATTTAAAATAAAAACTTAAACTTAAAAACTTAAAATAAAAACTTAAAATCGATCTACTCAAATTGGATTGATGTTTTAGAATTTTATTCACATTATAAATATTCGTTTTCTTTTAAAAAT